GGAAGCAGCCGGAGGAGGAAGCAGCGGATCCAGCGAAGCCTTTTGTCGTCAGCCTCTCCTCCTCCGCTCCTCATCCTCACCTCCTCCTCATTCTCAAGCCCACTCCCAGTCCACCAGCCGCACTCGATAGTCTCGAAAAGAAGTGAATGACATGCAGAAGAGTGGAAGGGTAGTCGTCGAAAGCCGTTGGGGGCTCACTGCAAGCCCTTGATGACGGCGTGAGTGAAGTCGGTCGTGTGCGAGGTGCCGCCCCCGTCGGGCGTGCGGATCTGTCGCCAACCGGTGCACTTAGTACTCGAGAAGCATGGAAGTGCCCCCAAATCAGGCCTGCGCACCTTGCCCTCCTGCAGAATTTTGTAAACCGACGAAGCGATAGTATCAAATGTCGCCCGTGAAGGTCGACAAGAGCGTCAGACTCAGCGAGCCGGAGAGAACGCCGGTAGGATGGTGAAGGTCCCGCGTGCTCCGAGGCGAGCGACGGGCGGTCGTCGCGCTTTGAGCGGGTAGACGAGCAAGGGCGCAGTATGATAAACCGTCGGGGATGCAGATGAGGAGGGCGTGCAGGGTCTACGTTGTGCCCGTGTTGAATGGAATGGAGCGTCAAAGAGGAGTGTGTTGAGCGCGGGTCGGCGCCCTTCATTCACTCGCGCTTGGCGGGCAATGAGAGGAGAGGGGGGGAGGGTTGAGGAGGTGGAGAAGGGAGAGCGATAGACGAGCGAGAGTGAATAGTCCGGGTGTGCCGGCTCGTGAACTTACGAACGCCGCTTGCGGTAGCAAGGACCGCGGCCGAGCGCAAAGCTGGGGAGGCAACGAAGGGGAGGCGGGCGGGGAAACCGAAAATCGAGACTCGCACTGAGCGTCGCCGTGGTCCGCACAGGCGGGTGTGACAAACGCACTGTTGGATGAGCTAGTAGGCAAGCGAGCGAGGCCCTCAATGTAGAGCGAGCGAATGTCAAAGGTGAAGAGGAGGAGAAGGGGTGAAGTCGGTCTTGAAAACGCCTCACTCCCGCTGTGGCGGGTCGCGAGTCGAGTAGCAGGCGTGTAAAGACCTCGTATGGCCGCCTGGAGGCGCGCTCGTTCTGTCTAGCTCCCCGAGCGGAGGCTCCATTCGCTGGCCGCCCTGCTCAAGCTCAAGTGGGTTCGTTCGGCTTCGTGCGCGTGTCCGCTGGCCTGCACAATAGCTCTGATTAGCTGCTCGTGTCTCCCTGCCGCTCAAACGCCCTCCAAACGCACCTACTCGTCCTCCTCACTTTCTTCAGAAACTCAGTCCCTCAGCTCTTCAGCAAGTCCTTCGCGCGTCCGCCTGATCCCTCAAGAACGCCCAACGAGCCTCTGTGCGCCGTTCAAAGCGCTCATCAGCTCGTGCGAGGGCGTGTGAGAGTCCCGTCACGAAACTCACCTTGGACGCGTCGGAACGAGGCGGTGAAGAGTACGGAGAGGGCGCAGCCAGCGGGCGGGGCGGGCGCGCGGGTCACTGGCAGACTGCAGAGAGCGAGGAGTAGCACTTGAGCGAGCGAGAGCGTGTGGTGAGTGGGAGCGACCTTGCGAAGGTCAAGCCGTTGCTCTCTTCGTCGCGCGTCGCAACGGTCCAGCATTCTTTCACGAGCGAGGCGAGCCTTTCTCGCTTGCGTTGTGCTCTATGGGAGTGCTTCGGAGCAGTTGCAAGGAGCAGCGACGAAGGCTCGAGGTCTCTGCGCCTTTCCGCTCCTCGAGGTAGTGGGCGACGAGCAAGAGGTGAAGTGTTCATCAACTGGCAAACGAGCGCACTGTACTGCACTCCTTAGCAGAGCTGGAGTCGCGTAGAAGCAGCCGGAGGAGGAAGCAGCGGATCCAGCGAAGCCTTTTCTCGTCACCCTCTCCTCCTCCGCTCCTCATCCTCACCTCCGCCTCATTCTCAAGCCCACCCCCAGTCCATCAGCCGCGCTCGATAGTCTCGAAAAGAAGTGAATAACATGCAGAAAAAGTGAAAGGGTAGTCGTCGAAGCCGTTGGGGGCTCACTGCAAGCCCTTGATGACGGCGTGAGTGAAGTCGGTCGTGTGCGAGGTGCCGCCCAAGTCGGGCGTGCGGATCTGTCGCCAACCGGTGCACTTAGTACTCGAGAAGCATGGAAGTGCCCCAGTTCAGGCCTGCGCACCTTGCCCTCCTCAAGAATTTTGTAAACCGACGATGCGATCGCATTTGCGTGGTGATCAAGTCCCAAATGACGCAGGAGCATTGTAGCACTGCTCAGGCCGAGCCGAACGCTTCAGCGACGTCCAAAACAGACCACAGGGGAGCAAAAAAAAACGAAAAAACGAACCTGAGGATCATGGCGGCCGGGTTGGCCGAGTCCTGGCCCTGGATGTCCTTCGCGACGTGGCTGTGCACTCAACACCATCAGTACGACATCCCACCATCCTCCCTCCACCGCTCGACCTCGAATCGCAAGGGGAGGAGCTCACCGGCACCCAGGCTCGAACAACGCAAACTCCCTCCCGATGTTGGCGCCCGGAACGATTCCGGGACCGCCGACGAGCGCAGCACCGATGTTGGAGATGATGGAGCCGTAGAGGTTGGGCATGACCATGACGTCGAATTGTTGCGGGCGGTTGACGAGTTGCATCGAGGTGTTGTCGACGCTGGGAGAGACGGCCGAGCGTCAGCGAGGGAGCCCCGGACTTTCGGAGCGCCTCAGTGGGGTGTAGAGGAGACGGCGACAGGAAGGAGGCGCGCTACGCACATCATGTCGGAGAAAGTGATGCCCGAGTCCTTGTACTCCTCGGCGACACGGCGGCACGTGTTGAGGAACAATCCGTCTCCGAGCTTCATGATGTTGGCCTTGTGGATAGCGGTGACGTGCTGTACCGAGCGAAGCGAGGATGAGTCAGTTGCCGAAGAGGAGAGGGGGGAAAGAGCGGACCTTGCGACCGTTCTTGATGGCAAAGTCAAAGGCGAAGCGGGCGATGCGCTCGGTCTTGTGGCGGGTCATGATCTTGAGGGACTCGACGACACCCGGCGAGGACTGCGCGGGCAATCAACCTGGGTCAACTCCGACTTTCTTCCGCCCTCAGATCCGCCCTCGCGCACCTGGTGCTCCAACCCAGAGTACTCTCCCTCGGTGTTCTCACGGATGATGGCAAAGTCGACGTCCTTGTGGCGAGTGGGGACGCCGGGGACCGACTTGCACAAGACGACCGAGGCGTAGATGTCGAGTTGTTGGCGCATGGCGACGTTCCAGGACGTGTGACCCGAACGCTCGACGGGGGTGTACAAGATGCCTGGGGGGAATCGTTAGCGCGAGAGGAATAGGGAAGGGGGGAGGGACAGGATGCACCCTTGAGGCCGACCTTGTTCCGCCTCAGCGAGTCCATCGAGCGCTTGAAGAGCGCCGCATCCTCCGAGGTTCCGCCCGAGACGTTGAACTTTTCAAACTCGACGGGGACGTTGGCGTGCTGTGCGGCCATCCTTTCCTGTCAGCTTCGTTCCGAGGGAAAGAAGGGGGGAAGACGGGGGACAAACCTCGAAGATCTCCTCGACCGACTGGGTGATCTCCTTTCCGACACCATCACCCGGAATAAGCGTGACCTGCGCCGTCCAAACTCCTCGTCAGGCGACACGCGCGCGGGATAAGTAGGAGAGAGGCCGTGGGACTGACGGAGTAGACGCCGCCGTACTTGGTGGGCTGGATGGCCGAGGGGCGGGAGATTCCGACTCCGAGGGTGGTGGCCGAGCGAGCCTGGCCGATCTGGTGCGAGTGAGCGTCGGAGGAGGTGTACAGTGGGAGGGAGGGGATGATGGGGTGGTTGGTAGAGAGCGAGGGAGACGGGCAGAGAGTTGGGCGAGTTCGCGTGTGTTGCGAGAGTGTTATTGAGAGTGTTTGGCGCATATTTGAGTGGTATCAGGCGTTGGTGTCGAGATGGGCGAGGCATGCGAGGACCAGCGTCAGTGAGCGTTGCGGGTTCAAGGGCGAGGGGGCGCGCACGAGCTGGTTGCGGAGAGCAAGTGGCTTTGGGAACATCGTGACGCGGTCCTTGAGTAGCCTGTCAGTTCCAAGCGAGAGCGAGCAAGGGAGGAGAGTGAGCGAGGTGTTCGCCGAGGCCATCGTCTCCTCCTCGAGCTCAGCCAACCCCTCGCCTCGACTCTCGCTCTCTTGCCAGGGCTTCACCCTTATCAGACAACAGCTTACTGGCACTACAGCTAGCCATGTTCGCACGCACTTCCCTCCGCACCGCAACCCGCGCATTCTCGGTACATCTCACTTCCCACCGTCACCGCGCATCTCCAACATCCACTCACCCACAGCTGGGAACCTCGCTCGCTGGACTCACACTGACCCAGTGACCGCACACGATCTCGCAGACCTCGGCACCGAGGGCGTACGCCGCGCAGGGAGCCGCTCCCTCGGGTTACGTTCCTAACACCAACGCAGACGGTGCGCTCCCTCTCCTTCGCTCTGACTGCCTCGCTCCGAGTTCGACTCACCTCGCAACACTCACACAGGCACCTACAACGTCACCCTCATCCCCGGCGACGTCCGTCTCCCCTCCCTCTCCCTCCTCCTCACGCCCTCTCCTCCTCGCTAACCCACGCATGCACACAGGGAATCGGTCCCGAGATCTCGCGCTCCGTCAAAGAGATCTACGACGCCGCCAAGGTCCCCATCAAGTGGGAGGAAGTCTCGGTCACCCCCATCCTCGTCGACGGCGTATCGACCATCCCCGCCGACGCCATCGCCTCGATCAAGAAGAACACCATCGCTCTCAAGGGCCCCCTTGCTACTCCCAGTGCGTGCGAGCGAGCGTCTTGTAAGGTGGGGGAGACTCGCTGACGCTCGTCTCGGGATAGTCGGAAAGGGCCACGTCTCGCTCAACTTGACCCTCCGCCGCACCTTCAACCTCTACGCCAACGTCCGTCCGTGCCGCTCCATCGAGGGGTACAAGACCGCGTACGACAACGTCGACACTGTCCTCATCCGCGAAAACACCGAGGGCGAGTACTCGGGCATCGAGCACGAGGTCGTCGATGGCGTTGTCCAGTCTATCAAGCTCATCACCCACAACGCGAGTTCGCGTGTCGCGAGGTACGCGTTCGAGTATGCCAGGGCCAACAAGAGGCCTCACGTCACGGCCGTCCACAAGGCGCCCATCATGTTTGTCCCCCTCTCCTCCTTTCCCTCTCTCCCTTCCCCTCTAACCCGCTGGACCCGTTCGTAGGAAGATGTCGGACGGCATGTTCCTCCGCGCATGCCGCGAACTCGCCCCCGAGTACCCGGACATCAAGTACGACGAAGACCTCCTCGACCGCGTCTGCCTCCGCATCGTCCAGAACCCCGCGCCTTACTCCGACAGGGTCATGGTTATGCCTAACGTGCGTTCGCGGACTTTGCTTTTCGGAATTTGGGAGACGTGCGGGGAGAGCTGATGGAGGGTGGTCTGCGCAGCTCTACGGAGACATCCTCTCCGACATGTGCGCGGGCTTGATCGGCGGTCTCGGGTGCGTCCTACCCCCATTCCCTCCCTCTCTCTCTCTCTCTTCCCTGTCCCGCGCCGCAAACACCAGGACCACTCACTGACCCCCTCTCGAACGAACGGGCTCGTGCGCGCGCAGTCTCACCCCCTCTGGAAACATCGGCAAGGACGCTTCGATCTTTGAGGCTGTGCATGGGTCGGCGCCTGACATTGAGGGCAAGAAGTGCGTTCGGGTCCTTCCCCTTCCTTACCGCGGGAAAACTGACCCCCGTCCGCCTTTGCCTCGCAGCCTCGCAAACCCTACCGCCCTCCTCCTCTCCTCCCTCGTACATCCCGTCCCTCCCCCTCCCTCGCGAAACAGCACAGAAACTGACTCCTCGATCCCCCCAACAGATGATGCTCCGGCACATGCAGTTGACCGACAAGGCTGACTTGATTGAAAAGGCGGTGCTCAGTGTGCGTTTTCCTTTTGGAGGTCCTTGGAGTGTTCCGGAGAGTATAGAGTGAACGCTGACGAGATCGGTTTGTTTGATCCGCCCTGCCTCGCCACCAACTCGACTTCCGACCCGCCGACTTTGCCTCGACTTCTCACACGTTCCCACTCCTCCTCCCTTCTCTTCCGCTTCTCGACGCACAGACCATCGCCGAAGGAACCCGCACGCGCGACCTCGGCGGCAAGGCCTCGACGCAGCAGTTCACGGACGAGATCCTCAAGAAGCTTTAAGCGGCTTCTCGACCCTGGAGCATAGGTGTAGGATCGAGAGGGTGGTTAATGTAGATTCTTTTTTCTTTCCTTTTTCTCGCTCTCTCTGTCCTTCGAGGCGCCCGCTGAGGGGTGCGCTGAGAGTGCGATATATAGGTCGCGGTTGAGTGAGAGAGCGGCTTCGCTGGACTCATCGCTACTTCCTCAGCCGTTCTTCAGGCTACTCTACCTCTGCGAAAGAGTGCAGCAAAGCCCCATCGAGTCGAGTGACGAAGCCTTCCATCTCGCTCTCCTCGCCCAAACCTCCTCTCCCTCAAGCTCTGGCGCGCCTCACACGCTCCTCTCCTCCTGCGCGCTCATGATGCTCTACTTGTCGCTCCAGCTACTCTAGACGAATCAGCTACGTCTCGTTTAAACCAGAGCGGCCGGACGCCCCCACTTCCAGGTCGCGACCTCATCGAGAGAAGGTGCGTCGCTCTCACCCCGCAAGGGTTGGCGGGCGCGCTGACGGCTGTCTTTCAGCTACAGAGGCTCGTACGGCGGTCACCACGGTCCAGCAGCGCGAGATGGACGTCCAGGACCTTCATCAACAAGTCGGAGGCGGTGTGGGATCGAAGTCCTCGGTACGCGTTGGGACGGGCCACGAAGCGGCAAAGGGGACTCTCAAGGGCGCGAGAAGGATGGAGGAGCCGACCGATGCCTTTGCACGGGGAGAGACACTCCCTTCTCCCCCTCATTCGACGCAGAAACGACCTCGTCCTCGTCTTCGCCCCTCGCCTCCTCCCGACTCGCCTTTGCCCGCACACCAGCACACACAATCAAGACCCATCTCGTCCCTCTCCCTTGCGGAATCATTTTCCAGTCCCCCTCCACCGGCATACGACTCGCTCCTTCCCTCTTCTCCTCCCTCTCCTTCGCTCTCTCGTCCTTCTTCACCCGCCTCGCCAGACGTGGAAGACGCCCAGCTCGACGAGCTGATTACCCTCACCCGCTCGCTGTTGCTCTCGTCGCAAGCGATTCTGAGGGATGGGGAGGAAGTGAGGGAGAGTTTGGAGAGGATCATTAGGAGCGGGAGTCCGCCGAGGACTGGGTCGGCTTTCCTGCGCCGGATTGGAGAGACGGGGGACGGCGGAGTGGAAGGCGTTTGTGGGCGTGGTGTCGAGGAGGGGTCGGAGCGGTTGAAGATTTTGGACGGAAGCGGTGTCGTCGTGAGAGAGGGTGCAGCTGGAGACGTTGCTGGCGGAAGTTGCGATGCGACGAGGAGCACGGTACGGGCGCTCGGCGACTTCGCCGGCGAGTCGAGTAGAGCGCAAAGTCGGACAGTCGACCCCATCTCTCCCGCCGATCTACAGCCCCAACCCGCAGCCAGCAAGCCCAGCACGGCACGCGACCTACTCTCCCAAGTTGCGCAGCAACAAGGCGGAGCCCCCAAACCTGCACCCACCGCCGCAGTCGCCTTCGACACCTCCTCGACCTTCGATCTCCGCATCCCGCCTTCACCGCCAGAGACGCCTGACAAGACGGTCGACTGCACCGACGCGTCATCGTCATTCCTTGCATGTCACGGTACAATAAATAGCCCCGCTTTGCGCGCCCGAAGCTCGCGCCCGCTTCTCGCCGACTCCGACTCGCAGGCAGAGATCGAGTCTCTTGCCCGTCCTGCATCCCCCGTACTCGTTTCGACACTTTCCGAAACACCCCGTCGACTATCGCAAGCCGTAGAACTCTCGACTCCGTCGTCCATCACCTCGACCCATTTCTCGTCATCCTCCCGTAGACCGGTTCACCACCGCCGCACCTCGACCGTCTCGTCGGCGACCACCACCTCGACTTTTACCTCGACGCATCGCTCCGCGACGACCGCATCACTCAGCCTGTCATCGTTCGACGAGTTGCTCGAGTCGTCGTCGTCGTCCCGCTCGACAACGAGCGACAGCACGCAGGGGGCCGGCCAGAGTCAGGCGCGGGACCGACTGAAGGCTCTTGTTGACGGTCCAGCGGTAGCGGCGGACAAGGGAGCATCGGCGGAGGGAGGAGAGAAGGCCGCGGCCTCTTCGAGCTGGTGGGGTTGGCAGCAAGGGTAGAGGGCGGTTCCTCGGGTGCCGTACGCGTGTACGTTGCCTTTCTGTGCGTCTAGACTTTCCTCCGTCGTATGCCTCGTTGTCCGCGCCTGTTCGTTGTAGCACCGCCCGCAACCTTTCTCCCCGTCGGCGGCCTCTGCGTCGCTTCCCTCGCAACGACGGACTTCTCGCAAAGGAACTGTGTGTTGATTGCCTTTCGTCGACAGCAGCTCTGTGTCGAACTTTCCCAGCTTCGGGCGTCGCGGCAAGTCAGCGCAAGGCGGGCGGGAACGATCAGCCGGACCGCAACCTCCGCCCTCCGCCGCAGCGCGTTCCTTCGTCCGCCGACAACCTCTTCTCCTCCTCGCTACATCGCTTCGTCGACCTTGCTGAACAACACAATGCCTCACTCGACTCTTCCTGACGCCCCTCGCATCGGTATCTCAGGCTTTGGGCGTATCGGTGCGTTGCGGCGTTCTCCCTTCCGAGCCTGAGGAATCGCGGGTCGCCTCGGGGTCTCCATTTCGCTGACCTCGTATGCTTTGTGAACAGGACGTGCCGTCTTCCGTGCTTCACTCGAGCGCGATGACCTGCAAGGTGCGTCGCGAGACGTCGAGGCGTTGAACTCGCCCGCTCCTCTCGCTAACTCGCTTCCGCCCGTGCAGTCGTCGCCATCAACCACACCGCGCCGAACCTGAGGACCTTCATCTACTCTATCAAGTACGATTCGACGCATGGACACCTGAAGCAGGCGGACGAGCTCTCGGTCGACGAGGCAAACAACTGCCTCTACTTCCGCGGCCGCAAGATCCAGCTCTTCAGCGAGCGCGACCCGCTCAAGCTCGACTGGAAGTCTGCTGGTGCAGAGTACATTGTCGAGGCGACGGGGAAGCACTGCACGACGGCGACCGCAGGCTTACATCTCAATTCTGGCGCAAGGAAGGTCATAATTTCGGCGCCCGCCAAGGACAGCGAGACCAAGACCATCGTCGTCGGTGTCAACAGGAAGGATTACAAGCCCGACATGGATGTCGTCTCGAACGCCTCGTGTACCGTGCGTTGTCGAGCGGTTTGATCCGGAGGATTCGCTAATCTCGGTTTCCTGCAGACCAACTGCCTCGCCCCTCTCGCCAAGATCCTCCACGACACATTCGGCATCGAAGCCGGTATGATGACGACCGTGCACGCCTCGACCTCCTCCCAGCCCATCCTCGACGGCTACTCGAAGAAGTCGGTTCGTCTCGGTCGCGGCGTCGGCTCCAACATCATCCCTACGACGACTGGCGCATCAAAGGCTGTCGCACTCGTGCTTCCCGAGCTTGCGGGCAAGTTCACCGGCCTGTCCGTTCGCGTCCCCGTCAACAACGTCTCGATGGTCGACTTGACGGTCAGGCTCCAACGTCCGGCTGCGACGAAAGAGGACCTGCTCTTCCCTCTTCGCGAGGCAGCTGCTGGACGTCTCAAGTATTCGACGGGACCGATCTCGAATGTCATCGCCGTCAACGACGAGGAGCTGGTCTCGCACGACTTTGTCGGCTGGCAGCAGAGCTGCATCGTCGATTCGGCCGCCGTGAGTGCTTCATTCTCACAGATTTGAGCTCAATACTGACCGTCTATGCGAACAGACGACAATGCTGAACCCCACGACCTTCAAGATCATCGCGTGGTGTGAGTCCTCCTTCCTCTCCCCATCCGCGACGCCCCTCCTAACGCCCTTTCTTGTGCGGCGGAGTTGATAATGAGCACGCCTTTTCGGTCAGGCTTCTCGAGCTCATCGAGTACATGTATCGCATCGACCAGACCTTCGCAAAGAACCACTCGCCGTAATCACGCCGTTTCGGCCGCTCCAGTGCACCACCTGCACATTGAGGGACTACTACAAGCCGAACTGGTATTGCACGAGTGTACAGGCAGTGCGGCGAGTTGCTACGAGGTGTGCAAGGACCCTTTCATCCGGGTTGTCTTCCGTCCTGGATGCCGATGCTTGCTTTGACAGCTCGCCAGCAGCTTCTGTGTGCTACGCAGCGAGAGACGTTACTCAGGAGCATGCCAGCTTGGTCCTGTCCGCAAGCAAGAGCTCGTTGGCGGCTAACTCGTGAACGGTTTCCCCGTGCCTTGCCGTCTTCGTCTCGTTTGCGCCTCCCTGTGCATCACAACATCAAGCGTTGTTTCAGTGCACAACTCCTACAAGCTCGCCAGACCTCGCTCAAGCCCCTGGCCTCCTGCTCTTGAGCAGTTCGTCCTCTTTGATCGCCATAGCCCGTAGCTCGCCGAGTTTGTTGATCGTGTTCGGGTCTTTGTTCTCGCTGTCGAATGCTTGGTTAGCTCTACGTTCAGAGAGAGTCCCCCATGAGACGAGCAGCTCACACCAGTTCAAGGTTCTTGCGCACGAAAGCTTCGAGGTAAAGAGCCCCCTGGCAGTCTTCGTGGACGTCGACCTGCACACCGCGAAGTCTGTCAGCCTCCTCACAGGCAACGCAGACCAGGAGCACGCCTGTTTCGACGGAGGGAATTGACATCAGTCTTGACATCGCGGCGAATGTCAATCGGAGGGGCGCACCTTCACCAGAAGCCATTCGCGCGCGTATTCTGGCAGGTCAACCGCCTTTTCCTTGCCCTTGGAGATCTTGGGCGCCATCGTGAGTGATTCGCAGAGTGTGGTCGAGGAGGAACGGAATTGAAATCCCCCTGTCACCAGACAAACGCGTCGAGGCGATGGCTCACGGACCTCTCCTCCTCCTCTCACTCTCGTTAGGCTCTCTCGTTGCTTGCACGCCACGTTCACGCGCCTGTTAGGTCCGACAACCAGCCGGTACGTCCCACGATGTTGTGGATCGCTCGCCTCCGCTCCCCTCCTCCCCTCACTGACATCCCGTCCGTCTGGCCTCTCCAGATCCCGATGCCGCCCAAGAAGGAGAAGCAGAAGGCGCCGCCTCAACCGCGAAAGTATGCTTTCGAGACTGAGGCGGACTTTCGCGACGTCGAGGAGGCTATGAGGGTCACTCGCGACTTCCCTTCCTTTGAGTCGCTACTCGACTCTTTCGTCAGCGGCCCACCAACTGGTGAACAGGCGAAGACGAAGAATGCCGACGTTCCCTTTCACAAGACGTGCCAGCAACTCCTCGTGCGACACGGCTACAAGAGCAATTTGCTCAAGAAGGAGGCTCGCCATACTTGGACGCGGGAGGAGCAGGTCGAGATTCTCTACACGCACTACCACCCCGATGAGGCCGACATCCACTACCGCTTCAAGGAGGGTCCAAGGCTCGACTACCAGCCGGTCGGTGCGACGAACGGGCAGCCCAAGGTTCGCCGGACTCGTGCTGCTCCAACTGGCCCTCTTCACCGTACGTCCCAGTATCTCTCTTCCCTCTTACAAGTACGTCGCTGAGTGGTTATCTCGACCCTCTCTTTCAGGCTTCTTCCCTCGTTCGACCCCTGCTTCTATCGCCTCTTCTTCCCGCGCCCTCGCTGCGGCGACTTCAAGCGGCACCTCGACTTCTAGCACGTCCTCCGGTACGGTCTCGACTCTGCGAGCAGTTCCCGCCCCTCCCTCCAGCACAGCCGGCAGTACGAGCGCAGCCGCGGGAACGGCCGCTCCTGCTCCTGCTCCCGCCCCTATGAACCGCTTCTCTTTCTTCGACTCGCCAATGCCTGCCGATCCGAACAACCAGGGTCCCTCGCCTACTCACCAGTCGCAGGCTCTGCTCCAGCGAAACGAGGCAGCGCGATTCGCTCACGCTCGCGAGGTCATGCCGGTGCTTGCGGCCGCCTTCAAGTCGGTCATGCCCGGACGTGATCAGGCGCTCACTTCCCTGGCGGGAGAGCTGCTCCTCAAGGCAGCGAGGGAGGGAGTCGAGCGCAGTGCCGCCGACCTCGCGGACCTCTTCGCCTTCCGTTACGCCTCGCACCCTCGCGCGCCCATCTCCACGACGGAGGCCGCAGCGCTCATCGCCAAACCGTGGAGCCACATCGGAGGCGCGGTTGCGTCGGCGTACGGGAACGTCGCGGGCAGGATCAGCAACACCACCCCGACCTCGTACCTCGAGGTCATCCAGCTCCTGGACAAGGCGCCCGCTCTTCGCGCCATCGAGGAGCTTCGCTCGGTCAAGACGCCCCCGGCGCAGGCGCTCGTCGCGAAGCTTGAGGAACTCGTCCGCCTTGGCCGACTCACCCACATCGGCAAGACGGTCAAGGGCTTGCTCGACCGCGCCCACCACGGAGGCAAGGCGTCGACGGGAGGTGACTTGCGTGCGGTCCTCGGCATCGGGCGCGGGGTTGGGATGAAGCAGGTCCCGTCGGTGTTGGAGGCAATCAAGGCATTGCAGGGAGGAGGGAGAGTGAGTGACACGGGTGACGAGGAGATCGTCTCGGATGGCGAAGAGGATAGCAAGGCCGACGACGAGCAAGAGGATCAGAACTCGCGACTCAGCTTGCAGCCAGTCGTCGAGGCTCTCCTCAAGAGCCGCCCCCGAGCCTTCCTCGAACGCATCTCGCGCCCGAACGCCCCCCAGGTCATCGTAATGAGTGGCGATGGTGCTGTTGTCTCGGTCCGCGTGCCAACAACCGTCCTTGACGACGACCTCGACCCGAAGACTGTCTCGGCCACCGAGTTCTTTGAGGAGTATCTCTTCGCCCCGACGCTCAACTTCCAGGCGGCTGGGGACAACCTCGTGTTTTCTCCGCTCGAATCTGTTCGGGAGGTCGCCGTCAGCGTCGGTACCGCCCCGCAGCAGGTCGTCGTCGTCGCCCTCGCACCGCCGACCAGGACCTACGGCGAGGTCGGCCAGGAGCAGGTGTGGACGGGCATCCACGCTGCGGCCCAGCGCAAGGGTTTCTCAGAGTCTTCGGACAAAGGTGCGTGGCACGAACGTGCCCAAGTAGTCCTCCGCAAGTGCTCGGCTGACATTGTATCCCCCCTGCTTCAGCTTTGGCCGCCGAGACCCTCAATGTCATCGACAGGCCGACGGAGGGTTCTGCACAGCCCGCGCTGACAAGGGCGGCCGTCGAAGGCGACAAGGTCAAGAAGAAGGATGTCGAGAAGTTCGAGAAGAAGGTCAAGGGTCGTATTGACGGGCTCGACGGCGGCGCGCTCGTCCTCGTTTCGACCACGACCTGGTTCAACGTCCGCTATGGCTTGCCGACCGACCAGCTCAACAACACCTCAACCGCCCTTGTCTCTCCGTTCCGACTCGTCCTCATCAAGGGCAGGCCCGCGATCGCCATCTCCACCCAGCAGCCAATGTCGGCAATAAAGAAGGGCCCGGCCTACGGCAAGATTGTCGGACCTGTCATTTCGAGCATGTGTGCTCAGTTTTCCCTCATCTTTTCCTTCTCTTCGCTGACCGGGGGCACTTCCCTCAGACACGCTCTCGCTCTCATCGCAGCCAAGCTCAGCCAAGCCGCAAGCTTCGACACGATGACGCTGCCCGAGCAAGCGACGTTCGTTGCCGGCCTCAACGCCAGGTTCGGCCGCATGCTCGAATCGCTCACCGTCCTCGGCACGTCGGCCCGCATCGGCACGCGCGGTGGCAGCGGTATCAAGGCGATGAGCCTCCCCACCCCGTTCATCCCCGCCCCTCAGGCTGCAACGAGCGGTCCCGGAGCGGCTGTTCATCTCGCCTTCGCCGTCGAGTCTGGTAACGGGATGGGGACGGTCCAGCTGAACAACTTATTTACCGTCACGAATCCTGAGACGCGGAAGGCTGAGGTCGCTATCTACGGGGACCGGATGTGGATCAGGGTTACGGCACGCCGCGACGGTCACATCTGGAGGGTCCAGTATCACCCGTCGTCCGTCTTCAAGTACAACCCGGCCGCCCTCTCGAATGACGAGATCCAGATGCTCAAGGAATGGTTCGCCGAGCAGGCGGCGAACGGAACATACCTCCTCCCGAAGATTTCCCGTTGCAAGAACAAGCCTTCGAGGGTAATCCTCCTCCGTGGCATGCTCGGCGCCAACGAGAACCAGCACCCGGAGCTCGTCAACTTGCATCGCTTCCCCGTGCGTGTTCTCGTCTCCTCATCTCCCATCGGTGCTAACGGGGTGCTTTACCAGCTCGAGGCACACGGTGGCGGCCAGGTTCCCCTTCAGGCGCCCCCTCTCGACGCTCCTCTCCCCGCCATCGTCGTCTACGTCAAGGATCGCGTCAGGCGTCTCGAGGAGGAAGCCAAGACCGCATCGGCACGCCCTCCACCGCAGGCGGACGACTCGAGGCCTACCAACGTCCGCAGGACTTGACGATTCTGTTGCTCTCCACCGCTTGTCCAAGTCCATCTCTCGCTTGTTCTGATTTCTGCTCGTTGTTGCTCCCTTTACCGCATTCGCTTTTACCTCCCCTCTTCCGCTCTCCTCTCGCTACACAGTCATGATTGCGTAGACTCCCCTACCAGTCTCTTCGTAGCCGCTTGTTCCGCCCCTGCATCCTGCACACCATTCAACCACTCCTGGCTGCACCCAGTACTGCCTGAAGGGAACATGACGAGGAGAGGCGAGTGAGAAGGAGGAAGCGGAGCAGATGCTTCTCCTCTACTGGTGCACCCCGCAAGAGGTCAGCTGCTCTCCTCCCTCCCCATCTTGCTAGTGGTGCCTGCCACATGCATCATGAGCCTGGTTGAGTAGACGGAAGCCGGGGATGAGGGAGAAGGGCATGAGAGGTCGCGAGGGGGTTGCGAGCCGGGTCCGCAAGCTGTTGCAGCGGCGGGAGGGGGTTCCTTCCGTTAACTGGAGCTGCTGAGGCAAGGAGGAGCTTGTCAATAGCCCTTGCGAAGGGGTGAGTGCGAGTCGAAGGGCGGAAGTGATGAGGATGCGGAGGTCCTCTCATCTCCGCTTAAACCCATCCGGTGCTTCTCGCAACTGTCCTAATGATAAATCGTTGTATTGCTCAATACAAATCACTTCTAATCTGAATCCGAGTCCGACAGCAGCAGAACTTCCGTCCCTTTCGAGACTTTCTGCGCGAGACGCCCTTCTATCGCCGCCAACCGTCTATCCCGCTGCGTCTTTGACTGAGTCTGGCACCTGCAGATTATGAGCGTCAGCGAAGACGCGAAGGATGAGGTCCAGGAACTCACCCAATACTCTTTCCCTCACCTCCGAGCCGCGCTCCCTCGGTAGCAAAGCTCGTCTTCAGCGAGCGCCGTTTGAGGGTGGAGCTCAAGCTGGAAGACTTGCGGGTTGATGCCGCCTTGGGTGTGTGAAGTGTGCGGATGTTGGACGAGGAGCTGAAGCGGCCATTGAGAGTTGTAGCAGGCCGGGAACGGCGAGCATGGTGAGAGGAAGAGGGAGCGGAAGAGGAAGGCTGGCGAGATGTCGAGGAGGGGGATGTTGAAGAGGACGAAGGTGGAGCAGCGGAGGGTGGAATGACGGCTTGGGCGGGAGGAAGTGTGCCGCTGTGCGCGATCAGGATGTCAGCACGTGTCGCTAGAAAGTCAGCGGATGGAGGGACACGCACCATGGAGAGGCGGCAGTAGCGAGTGCGCCGAGAAGGGCGGACGGTGTCGAGGTGGAGAGCGAGTCTTCGTCGCCAAGACGCTCGCCTCGACCCCACCAACCCGCCCCCGTCCACCCTCCTTCAATGAGCACCGCAAGCTCGTCGATGAGAGCCTGCTCCGTCTCTTGAAAGACCTTGCCGTGTCCCATGTCGGCGTTGTGCGCGAGCTGCGAGATGCGAAGATCAGCAATGGCGGTGCTGTACAGCGGAAGACCGAACGAACCTCGTGGCACATAAGCCGCACGAGTCGACCCTCGTCGAGCCTGCATCGGAGGAGCGTCAGCAGCGACCCGCGAGAGCGAGAGGAAACGCGACGACGCACCAAACACCACTTCGAGTCCTCAACACAAGCTCGACGTGCTCGCCCGCCGCCCAGTTCCTTCCCGCCCACCCCGTGTTGTGCTGCGCGTCGGTCAAGCGCCCGATGCGGAGATCGTGTTGTTCGAGGATCGGGTGAAAGAGTGAGACGAGCGCTTCGAGACGGCGGATGACCTGGGAGAGCTCGTCAGCGTCCGTCGCCTCTGAAGCGGTGAAGGACGTGGGAGTGACGCACCTCCTCAGGCTCGCTATCCGCGCCACAGGACTCGATGAAGTTGACCCTGTCGCTCTGTTTGGACAAACAAAGTCAGCTCGCGGTCGCGCTCGCCTCGGGGTGAGTGCGCACTGGTCGTCGTGTCCGCTCGTTCAGTCTGAGGAAGTTGACAGGCATGGCGGGGCAGGAACACGGAAAGAGCTTGGGAGCAAGTGAGGAGGACGAGAGAGAGCCGCATTCCGCGAGTCGAGCGCGTCCAAGTCGCGCGGTGAGGCGGAGGTCCGGCTCTCGCTGTTCACACCGGCTCGTTTGAGGGCTTGCTGCTGCGCGTATTACTGTGCTCTGATACTACCTCGAACCACCTCGCTCATCCCGACTCGCTCCCGCCGCCCCATATCGTCTTGCCGTCTTCATCTCCCCTCGACGATGGATCGTCGCCCCAGGCTTCAACACCTGCAGCTGCGCCTCAAGGAGGTCCTCGACGAGCTCGAGAAGGAGGGAGCAAGGGCAGACGAGTGCCCGCAGGAACTCCTGCTGGAGTTACGGCGCGCGCCAGTGGTCGAACGGTCGCTCTCACAGCGTGCGTCCTCTCTCCCGGCCTCATTCGCCGTTCCCGAGTGCTGACGTTCGTGCGAGCAGTCCCTCAGACTCGTGAGTTCCTGGTCAATCTGTGCGCGCGAGTGCCGCTGACAACGTTGATCCTGCAGCCGCGCCCTCTTCCTCACCGGCACGTTCAATGTCGGGCTCCGACCGATTCGAACGTCGCCTGAGACCTCCGACGCTTCGACTGAGCTCAGAAAACACCGGACAGATTGAGCAATACACGCCGTCCGCTTCATCTTCGAGCTCATCCGTCGCGCGCTCGACCGAACAAACCGCCGAGGGTGTGCGAGGTGACGGCTTCTCGATTGCGGGGCCATTGCAGGAGGATGACACGTTGGAGCTGGGCGACGGAGCGCACGGTTTGGTGTCGACAGCGCCGAGTGAGTCTCCGGCGTAGCGTTTCCTCTCGCATCTGCGTATGCTGACCGGCTCTCCATTCGCCGTTCCTCCAGCTGTCGGCGCTCTTCCAGCACCGTCATTCCCGTCCGCAACAATCCCCTCCTCACCATCCGCCTCCTCACCACCCGCCGCAAGCTTCACCCTCCCGACCCCGCCCGCTTCCTTCGCCGACAGCAATATTCCGATTCACGAACCCGTTCCCGCTTCCCCTCCTCCCTTCTTCCACTCCGAAAACGCCCTTCCGCAACCGCAGTCGCCCGTCCTCGACTTACCGAGTGTTCAGTCGATCGTCGCGGACTCGGTCGAGGCGAACGCGGCGCCCGCCTCACAGTCCGACTTTGCGCCAGCCATTGCGGACCGGCGCGAACGTTCCGAGTCGCCGCTTTGCGCTGACTCGCCTGAGACGCCCGCTGCTCCGGGCGCCGACGGCACCGGACTCTCCGCTGGTCGACTTCGCGAGGTGAGGACGAGACCTCGTGCTCAGCAGCTGGGAACTCGTGCTGATACTTGCTCGTCCTACTTCCCTCGCGGAACGCCCATCCCGCCTCTCCCGCCGCCACTCAGCAGAAGCTTGACGACGCTCGCGACTTGGACCGTGTGTCCAACGCGAGTACCTCCGATGGTGAGGAGGACGGCGACTACGTCCCGCCACAAGGCGCGCAGGATGATGGCGATGATGACGATGATACCGAGATGGGAGAGTGGGATGAGGAAGATGAGGAAGATGAGGGAAAGGACCAGGAGGACGAGGTGAGTTTCCCTTTCGTCGCTTCTATATTCACGCTCACCGACCCCTTGTCCCTCGCAGGTGTTTTCGTTGGTGGAGGAGGAAGAGCCACCGAGGAAGCGGCGGAAGAAGACCGCGACCGTTCGAGCACTCAACCCGCGGGACGGCATCCTCGCGGCCAATACACCCCTAGCGGTCTTTTCAAACCAGCTATTCGCACTCGCTCGGCCTGCAGTCCAGCGAGACATAGGCGAGATTGTGCGATACTTGCGGGGTGAAGCCTCGACTCGTTCGGATCCCTCGTCTCCCCTTCCTTCCCCTCCTCGCGCCGAGGTGCCCACGCAGTCGGCATCCGATTCTCTCCTCGGTGTCGCGCGCCATATCCAACAGCTCTCTTCTACCTCGGCACTGGCCAACTTCCGGCGGATCGTCGCGACCATCGAAGCAGCCGTTCTGCTCGCCAAGTCAGTCTCTTCGCTTCCCGCCGATTGCGTCCATGGGCTGATCCGCGCTTTTTGCAGGCACAAGGGCTCTCTTGTTGGCGGGAATGAGCGGTCGGATACGAGTGTGCTGGAGGAATTGGTGGAAGGTGTCGAGGTCGATGCTGCATCGCTGTACAAGGCGGTCGGCGAGGGGAGAACATGGGCTCGATGGCTGGTATATGGTGCGTACGCGTTCACCGACGATCTTAAAAATCAGTTCCTCATCCTCGCGATCACATCAGGTGGTGTTCCCCTCGTCATCGTCCTTTCCGTCCTCGTTCGCCTCCCCACCCTCGTCTCTCCCGCCTCAATCTCATTCCTCGACTTGGTAACCCTCCGAACCAAGAACGGACTTCTCCTAGACGAATTCATACCCGAAGAGCATCCCTGTGCGTTACTAGCCACCCCGAATGAGCATCCCGCATGCTGACCTCCATCGCATGTAGATTCCTTCGCGTCGGTCGCCTTCTCAGACTACCTCCGCCCGACACTCGCGACGATCGCCTCCTATAGCGACCTCGTGATCGACTTCCTGGGCGAGAGGAGGGTTGTTACGGCTTGGGAGCGGAAGTCGCAGAGAGGTTCTCCTCCGACCTTTTGGTTGCGCGAGTCACAGGCCGCTTGTCCATGAGCGCAGAGCCTAACTGATCTATCATCCCGCAGCGCCGTTCGAGCGATTCCAGGTCCAGCGCGGCTCGCTCTCCGACGACATCCGCAAATCTGTCGCACACGCACTTCTAGCTCGGCCGCAGCCGATCATGAAGACGCTCGGTGTCTTTAACGACCCAATACCGCGACCTGAACCGTACGAGACGACTGCCTGTCCCTTGACACCTCCCCTTCGACCCGCACCCGACCGCACACTCCGCATCTTCGCCGGCGTACCATCGGTCCTCGCGCAGACCATCGAGGGTCTCGCTATCCCGAATGCCTCGTAGGTCGAGCCTGACGTTCACTTTGACGCGAAGAAGGGCTCATCGTTCCGTACTGCAGGTCGGTCGCCTCTGCAACCTTCGCCCATCACATCGCCTCCCTCTCCTCGCTCCCTCGCGCCACCCTCGACGTGTCGCATCCGCTCGACTTGACGCCCGCTCGGCTCGGTATCCAGAATCCGTCGCAACCGCGCAGAGACTGGGACACGAACCGCCCGGGGCGGTTCTTCCTGCCCGGCGAGGAGGACGTGACGGAGCGTGTTGGTTACGAAAAGGTCGGTCGTCGAGCACGGGCAAAGATGGAGGATGAGGTGTCCGGGAGTAAGGGTTTGACGAAGCGAGGACTCTTGCGGAGGATGGAGAAGATGGCAGGAGGTGGCGAGAAGCTGGTCGAGGGGCTTTCTCGTGCCGTCGAGGGCGCCAAGAAGATCGAGTCGCTGAAGGAACTCGAGCAGATGAAGAAGGAGGGCTTCACGTTGGGCAAGGAGTTTGTTCGTCTCGCTGTCTCCGAGTGCGTTCGGGTCTCGTTTAATCCTCCTCCTACACAGCTGACATCCTCACCCACAGTGCCGTGGTCGAGATCATGCCGCCACCGCCTGCATCACTACCCTCCAACCCTGCACCAACCGTCCCCCTCGCAACCCTCCTCCCGCCTTCCACGATCCCTTTGCCCCTTTCCGAAGCTTACATTTCTGCCCAGCGACTCATCTTCCCCGACGACTTGATGCACAACATCGGCGTCATCTGCAAGAACGACGAGTGCACAACATGTGCTACGGCTCGCGAACGCACGGAACCGCCCGCCGAAGACGCTCCCGTCGTCCTGCCCAAACTCGCTCGCCATCAGCCGGACGATTCCCTCGACGAGGTCCTCGGAGTGGATAGGCGGTTCGTCGAGGTTGTCGCGAGGGTCACGGGCTCGAGCCAGCTGAGGAAGCAGAAGAGGGCGCGGGCAACGGGTGAGAGTGTCGTGCAGGCTTGGGGAGATGGAGCCGCCGTGATCCGACTCGCGCCATCATTCAGGACAGCGTCGTTCGTGATGTGGGACCAAGTGACGTGGAGCGGTGCCAAGTTCGGAGAACGGTGGACGGGGGAGGAGGACGAGGCGACAGGTTTGCGGGTGATGGGCGGAAGCGGGACTGGGAACGGGGTCCGTACTCCTTCCTTGCAGCTCTGCCGGACCCGAACTGACGGTATATTCTCGCAGGCCGTATGGCGCGACTCGACCTTGACCAAGACTCTAGGTTACATATTCGACGCGTACGGAGAGAGGGTCTCGCCCTTCTTCCAGTTCCAGCGTGACCTAGTGAGTCCCCCATTCCCTCCATCTAACGATTTGCGGAAGGCGATTGACCTTGCTCGCAACAGCTCCGCGCAATCCACCCGCATGCCTTCGTCCAGCTCGACGCAGGACTGGCCGGCCACGACGGGGACGGGGACGGTAACCCCTTCTGGCCATGGCCTTGGGCAGGCGGACACCCCTCGACAGCGCGCGCCTCCGCCATGATGCGCGCCCACTTGGACGGAGACCGGGATGGTCTGCCTGCCGCCCTCGCCCATTTCGGGAACTACGAGGGCGGCGAGCTCACCTTTCCTGAGCTCCTGGCGGCGTCGGGCGGCGGTGGCGGCAGCATGGAGTTCATTCGTCCCTCGGACATCCTCCATGCTGTCGCCAAGGTGAAGAGCGGAGTGCGCTGGACCTCCGACTCTGCGCAAAACGCCTGCTATGGGAGGTGAGGGACGTAGTCGGGAGTATTACTATGTAGCGAGTTCTTTCGCTGAAACTCAAGCGACGAAGAGACGTCTCGGTAGCTTTTAGTATACGTATGCTGGACTTGATCCGGTACATGTACAACGTCGACAACAACTTGCTGGCGAGCGCGGCGGGCACGCCCGCCTCCCTCGCCTCATCCGCCTAACTTCCGCCTCTCCCGCCTATCATACTGTTGCTATGTACCATTTAGTGCTCCGTCGTGCTCTCGGTAAAGCTGACGGAGGCGCGAGAGGCGAGGAAGAGACGAGGGAACCGACCTTCGCAAGTTGCAGCAGCGCTTCTATCTACAAATCCCCGCTCGACGGCCCTTCTAGGAAGCTCCGTAAGTCAAACATTGCCCCGTCGCCTTCCACCGCGCCATCGGCAGCCTCGCCTCCGCCAACGAACGCATCTTGCCCGAACCCGTCAATCGAAGGCCAGCCTTCGAAGAGATCTGGAAGGGCTCCGAGGTGCTGAGGGAGCGAGAGAACGCTCGTATGCATCCACCAGAGTGGGTCGACGTCGCTCATAGGCGAGGTAAGCTGGTCTGTTAGCGCCGAGGTCTGCGGAGTCGGCGCGTGCTGGTTTAGGGAGGGGAGGAAAGGGTGCGGTAATGCGGGCGAGAGCTGCGTGAGGCTCGGCGAGATAGGCACTGGCGGAGGCGGAGGAGGTTGCGGAGGCGCCGGCGGACCTGTAAAGGAGAAGCGTTAGCGCGCGAGAACGGCGAAGGTGGACAGGCGGGCTCACCTGCGTTGGCGTGATTAGGCGGACCGAAGAGCTGCAGTAGCGGTACGAGCTCGGGCAATGCGCCGTTGAGCGAGCGGAGGAGCGTGGCGATCTTGTCGAGCGCGAGCGAGGCGACGTCCCAGTGGCTTGCGTGGTGGCTCGAGGTGAGTGTGACGACGAGCCGGGCGAAGAAGACGCCGGCTGCGGTGCGAGTGGTCGCGTCGAGGTCTTTGGCGGAGAGGGCGGTGCGGAGGAGGACAGACGCGGCGGTCGCAATGATGAAGGAGCAGTCTGCGGAATCTCGGTCAGCTCCGTATTTCTTCATTGTTCGGCGAACACCCAGCCAGAACTCACAAGGCGCCCACCACATCTCGAGATCTCCGGACGCCAGGTTCTCGAGGAACTCGACGAGCGTCTGAGCGAGTGTGAGGGCTGTCCGGCAGGACGCGAGCGAGTCGGCCGTTGTCGTCGGCTGGACGCTCGTCGAGCTCAACTGGTATAATGTGAGGTCGATGCCGAGCTTGCAGAGCTGGAAAGATCCTGCGCGAGGTACAAAGTCAGAGAGAGCGCTGGGTGAGGTGAATGCTTACTGATGCCGGTCGCTACTGTCACTTCCGGTCTGTCCTCCGCTGTCGGTAGGCGGTGTAGCTCGGTCGGCAGGTCGTTCTCGAGCGCGACGAGCTCGAGGCTGATCTTCTCGAGGAGCTTGAGAGTCTCGGTAGAGGAGCGAGACGAGGAGAGGGCGCGGACGGTGAGGAAGGACGACAAGATTGTGCTGCGTAGACAAGCTGTTAGTATGCTGTCAGACCAAGTCAACTCGTGAACGCACTCGACGATCTCGGTGAGGCGACACATCGCAACGAACGAATGCATCGAGAGCTGCTGTACTCGACTTGAGCCTGGCGGCAGTTCTTCGACAGTTGGGAGCGGGACGTTCCAGTCTTCCCTTGCAGTACTGCGAGCAGTAGGAAATGTGAGCGGAACTGACCAGCGGAGAGGAGAGGCGAGAACGCGCATTGAGGGGCGGCCATACCACAACGCTCGCCACTTGTCCTGCTGCAGGATTGACCACCACAATCGCTTCCGCAGGACCCGCTCCGAGTAGGGCAGGCGCCACTTCGAGGGGTCGAGATGAAGGCCGAGCAGATGAGCGGCGGCAACAAGCTGCAGGTCAAGTCGTTCAGCTGCGCAAGGATTGCAACTCCAACGAGGAGCGAGACGCACACGACCGAGACTGATGTGCGTCTGCGCGACGTTGATCGCTGGCCGTGCGGTTATCGTCACGAGGGCAAGCTGCATAGTGTAGAGCGACGGGCGGCGGTACTCGTCTTCGAGGCAAAGCAGGACTTGCCGCCAGAGATACTTGTGAACCGGCCGAATCTCGTGCACGTAACAGGTCGAGTGCGCTAGCAGACTTGTAAGTAAGCCGTAAGAAACGCCTGCTTCGGCGAGACTCGCTGGATCCGAAGTCGTGAACTTGGTCTCGTCGAGGATAGGGTTCGCCGGTTGAGACCGCTTCAGGTAGCTGTGGGTGCAAAGCTCAGCTAACGCCAATCCGAACGAAGCGAGCGGTACGCACATCTCGATCAGTCGAGGTGGAGCATCTGGCGCTAGAGCTGCACACGCGCCTTGCCAAACCCGCGAGCTCTCCGGCGCCGCAGTACCGTACATGAGCGTCGGTACCTGCACGAAGTGTACTGGAAAGGCATCATCCGACGAGACTTGTCGGAACGCGACGTCGCCAGGCCAGCCCGACGAATGAAATTGCTCCTTCGAGAACGATTGCGACGAAAAAGCATGGCTGTTGACATAGTTGAGCTCGGCAGCGCCGTTGGTTGAAGAGAGGAGCTCGTCGCTGGTCGAGCCCGGCGGTAGAGGGGGAGGTAGGAGAGCCGCACGAATTTGCGAGAGCACGGCGGTGGAGGAGCTGGGTCGAGATGCCTGTCAACAATGCGTCAGCTCTGTGCTGACCTACAGCGTTAGCCGGACCTACGGGTTGAGCGAAGTCCGCCTGTACGCGAAGAGTCAGCAAGATTGACAGCCAAGCAGGGGCTCTGCTCACCTGAGTCGGCAACGTCCCTTCAGGCAATCGAGGACTCGAGGTGCCCGTCCCAGTCGCGTCGCCGTCGGTCTTCGGCTTGCGCACTCGAGCTGTCGGCGGGTCGAGGAAGGTGCAGGGGCGAGAGCGAGCGGCGCAGGCGCGGCAAGGTTGTCCCTTAATGGCAATCACACACATGTGCTTCTGCCGTCCTGCGTTCGTTCGAAGAAGCCATCAGCGCCCTCCCAGCAACCTTCTGCACCCGCCAAAAAGCGATTTCGAGGGGTAGTCAAGGAGGTCCAACGCACGACCTGTTCAATGCGGGCTTGTCAGCAGAGCTCTGTGACCGAGAAGTGCCTGTTAGACGCACAAGTATCGCATGGCCTGTCACGACGGGAGCGTTTCGCTCGTCCAGCTTCTGTCGAAGGGGAAGGCTCAGCCCCGTCGCACCCTGCTAGACGAGCGAGTGTACGCACGAGAACTGGTCTCTAAGAGCTGCTCCGTGCTCTGCTGGAGCCCAGCGGTCGAGGTGGAAGCGACAGGACCCGTCGAAATCCCGTTGACTGATGAAGCTGTCCTGTCGTCCATGGCGCCTGAGCCGATAGCTATAGTGCGTGACGCAAAGCAGTACAGGCTAATGAGCGGTCAGTACGCCCCGCTAGACTCGCGATAGCGTTGCGACCCCGCGAGCGAAGGAGGAAGTGGCGCGGAGCAGCACAAAGCAACGGCGCGCCCTTCGAGATGCCGATGGAGCGGCCGAGATAGGCGCAGACGACGTTCGCCGAGCGTTCTTCGCCATTCAATAGCACAGCAAGTCTGGCGATGGAGGATTGGGCTGGAGAAAGGCGGCGGGAGAAAGTCGAGAGGGCGGAGACCGACTGTCGACCATTCGAACCGAATCTTTCAGACTGCGAGACACTAACGACTATGCAAACCACGACTCAAAAACTACTCGCCGTCTAAGCCCGGCTCAGCTTGCGCAACTTGGTCGACTCCTCCTTCTCCAGCTCTTCCTGCGTCGGCAGCGTCGCCATCGTCGAGAAGTGCACCCGACCCTCCTTCATGACAACCTGTAGATGGTGCTCAGGTCGATCGAGAACGCGGATGTCTTCGAGAGGGTTGGCGTCGAGGACGAGGAGGTCGGCGAAGGCGCCGGGATTGACAGTTCCGATCTGTCCTTCGCGGCGGAGCAGTTTCGCTGTACTCGAAAGCGTCAGCACAGTCTCTCGATTCGCGCGTATGCAAACGCACCAGGGTTCGTGGTAGCATGACGGAGGATCGCAGGAGAAGAGAGAATTTCGGCGCGGACGGTGAACTCCTCCGTCTGGAGCGCGTGCATCGAAGTGAGGAGGTCGGAGCCACTGCAAGAGACGCAAATCGTCAGCAAGTTCACCTGGACTGTAAGGAATTGCGCAGACTCACTAGCAGACCGTCACTCCCGCCTCTTCCGCCAGCTTTAGCGCCTGCAACCCCTGCTGCATGACCTGCTTGTTCTTGACCTGACCGTCGGGTGGAAGGAAATCCTCGAAGGGTGGTCGGACCATGATACCGTAGCACGACAGGGTCGGCGTGAGGTAGATGCCCTTCTCAGCCATGTAGATCGCCGTCTCCTTGTCGATCAGGTTGCCGTGCTCGATACCCTTGATGCCGTTGTCAATCGCGTGTCGGATCGCCTCGACGGTCTGTGAGAGTAGGAGGTCAGAAAGCGAGCGGGCAAAAGAAGGGAGACGAGAGGACCGACGTAGGCGTGAGCGGTCGTGTGGATGTTACCCATCTGTCTGCAGGTCGTTGTGATCGCCTGGATCTCCTCAGCGCTGTACTGGATCGTCTCGATGGCGTCAGTAGCCGAGGCGACTCCTCCGCCGCACATGACCTTGATTTGGCTGAACAAGCTGGCATCAGTCGCAAGCTGAGAAGAGTACGTGGATGAGCTCACTCTGCACCCGCCTTGAGCTCTTCCCTAACCGCCTTCAGAACCTGGGGAACGCCGTCCGCCGTCCTGCCGAGCGAAATCGAGTGTCCGCCGCAGCAGCCAGGTTCGCCGCCGCTTTGTGCGGGCGTAAAGTCGCCGTGGCCGCCTGTCCAAGCCAAAGGTCAGTCGCATGCGCAACAGGCGGAGAGAGGACGAGCGCACCAGTCTGGGAGATGGCTTTGCCGCATTGGAACAGGCGAGGACCCACGACGAGACCCTCGTCAATCGCGTTCGCGAGGCGCTTCGATGCTCCGCCTACGACGATAATAAATCTTCAATGCGGGTCTCAGGGAGAAGGCACGGAGAAACGCACCGGTATCGCGGACGGTCGTGAAGCCTCGGAGGAGCATCTCGCGGAGGATATAGATTGTGCGATAGTGGATGTCCTCCTCGGGCGTCCGCACGAGTTCCGAGATCGTCTTGACTCCGGGCACGGCCGTAACGTGTACATGAGCATCGATCAAGCCGGGACAAATGTATCGCCCGTCGAGGTCGACCTTTCGCAAGCCTGCCTCTTCCTCAAGGAGATCCGGCTCGTCAACGGGATACACGGCCGCAATTTTGCCGTTCTTGACCACGACCGACTGCAGGCCATCGAGGAGCTTGCCAGCAGCTGGGTCGACAACCTGGGCGTTCGTGAGAATGAGGCCAGCTGGAGCGGCGGGAATCCAGGGCTTCAGGGCGAGTTTGGGGAGGCTGCATCGAGCGAGTATCTCGTCAGTCGTCGTCGGAAGAAGCGCCAGATGGTCGCACGCACAGGCTAGGACGAGTGTGCGAAGGTCCAGGGAAGGGGTGGTCGTGAGCGGCGTGGCCATTCGTCGACGGCGCAGAGCCGTTCATCCTGACGTTCTCGACAGAAGGCATGGCGATCTGAGGCTGTAGCAGCAAAGGAGAGGCAGAACGGGCGAGTCGAGCCAGCCATATCGTGGCAGCGTGGTCCTCCGCGAGCCGAAGGAGGGGAAGCGGCCAACGACCTTGGCCGAGTGGAGCCGTCGAGCGGAAGACGTGGCAGTGCGCAGAACAGCAATCGCGCACACTTCGCCTCTCGCTCTACCCGCTTCCTTCGACCCTTGACCTCGCTTGGTCCGCTCCTGACCTTCCCAAGCAACAAAGGGATGCTCACAGCTCCTCACGCTGACTCGCTGGACGTTGTGGTTGCTCATGCAGCGTCTCAGAATCTCTTCAACGTTTTGACCGCGTGCCTTTTTCCGATTTCGACCACTCCGTCGTCCCGGCCGGCTTGTTCTCTTGTCCAGCTGTTCCTTCCGGCACCTGTTCGCCGCTGCGCCGCCGCTTCGTCGTCGAGTCTTCTTCCGTTGGCCGACAGGCGTCTGGCGGCGCCCGCCATCTTGGGTGGCCCCGCTTCCTCGCGCTTATCGCGACCGCACTCGCTTCCTTCCCTTCCTCTTCGCCGCCTCTCTCTCCTGCTTCTTCCTTGCCCTCAGCATCGACGCGACGCTTCCCAACCATGAGCTCCGCCGACGAAAAGAGCTTGCCCGGCGATGCGGATGTCAAACTCGCTCCCCTCGAGATTGATCCCGCTGTCGAGCGGCGCGTCGTCCGCAAGCTGGACATGACAGTTCTGATCGCTTTCGCGATGGTTTTCGGCATCAACTACCTCGACAGTGAGTCTCCTTTCGTCCGCGAAAGGAAGCCTTCGACGATTTAGCCTTTGAGCGCTTCGCTGACTGACTTTCCCTGGTCGTCCCCGCCTCCTCGCTCACAGAGATCGGCCTGTCGTACGCTGCCATCTTCGGTATGAAGAAGGATCTCGCGCTGGTCAAGCAGGACTATAGGTTCGTCGCCGATCCCGCTCGTGCTCTTCTTTCCCTCCCTCATCCTCGCTTTTCGCAGCTGGACAGCAAGCATCTTCTACTTCGGTCAAGCCGCCAGCGAATTCGTCTGCCTCTACCTGCTTCACAAGCTGCCCATTCGGTCCTTTGTCGCCGTTTCGATCGTCGTCTGGGCAATTGTCGTCGCTTGCCAGGCCGCCACGAAGAACTTTACCGACATGATGATCGTCCGCTTCTTCCTGGGCTTCACCGAAGGCGCCGTGGCACCCGCATTCGTCCTTATGACCTCCTTCTTCTACCGAAAGAGGGAGCAGCCCATCCGCATCGCCGTCTTCGTCAGCTTCAACGCCCTCGCACAGTACGTTCGCCTTCTTCATCCTACTCTCACGCTTGCGCCGACGTCTGGTCCGCATCCTACTCTTACGCTTGTGCTGAACATTGGTTCGCAGGATCGTCGGCGCCCTCCTCCTCTACGGCTGCGGCTCGATCAAGGGCGGAGCGCTCAAAGGCTGGCGTATCTCCTTCCTCATCTGCGCCGCCCTCACTATCCTCATCGGCATATACTTCTTCATCTTTGTGCCCAAGTCGCCGGGCCAGGCGTGGTTTTTGACGCCGGAGGAACGGGAGGTTGCTGTCGCTCGTGTCGCTCAGGAGCGTGCGGTGAGTTCTCCAACTCCGAGAATGCTCTACATTGGAAAGAACATGGTACTGACGAACTCCGACGCAGTCTCTCGCGCACTCGAACGTCGACCGACGCCAGATTCGTCAAACACTTCTCGACGTCCGCTTCTACATCGTCTTCCTGTGGGCTTTCTTCGTCTGTATCACCAGCGTGGTTACCTTCGGGTCTATCGTCGTAAATGGGTTCGGCTTCACCCCATTCAAGACGCTCCTCGTTGGACTTCCCGGTCCCGCCGTGCAGCTTGTGACGATTTGGGTGCGTTGATTCCTTCTTCCGTGCTTTCCCGCACCACTCTCTGACCTGCTTCCCGTGCAGATTGGAGCAGGCTCGCTCTACCTCTTCCCGAATGCTCGAGGTTGGACGCAGATGGCGCTCACCCTCGTCCCGCTCACCGGCGTCGCCATGATGCGCGGTCTGCCCTACCACAACAAGTGGGCGCTCACAGGAGCGTTTTGGCTCGCCACGGCTAATAGCAGGTGAGCCTCCAGACGCTGCCTCCCAACATCCCTCGGCCGTTCTGGCACTTTAACCGCCATTTCGCGGGTGTTTCTCGTCCTCCTCCCGCTTCTTTCTCGCTTCATCTCGCCTATGCTGGTCTCTCTAGACACACATATGCTAACGCTCTGGTTGCACAGCGTTTACGTCGTCAACATGTCGCTCATCGCCTCCAATACCAAGGGACACACGCGCAAAACGGTACGTCTCGGTTCTTTCTTATCCGAAATGCGACATCGCGCTGACATTTGCGAACCCACAGATGTTCTCGCTTGTCTACTTCCTCGGCTACTGTGAGTCCCGCACCATGCGAAACGCTCTCGAACGAAGGGACGGACCTCTACGCCGCCTTCTCAATTCTGCGCTTCTCGCGGCCAGACTCGCTCTTCTTCCTTTCGCGCGCTTGCACTGACACAAACTGTCACTCTTCTCCCTGCGCACAGGCGTCGGCTGCATTGCGGGTCCGTCTCCGTTCGCATCTCAATCCGACCTTTACTGACCTCCGCTTCCTGCAGGACCCCAGCTCTTCCTCTCGTACGAAGCGCCCCTCTACCGCACCGCCATGAACACCATCATCGGCATGTACTGCGCCTATCTCGCCTCGATGTTCCTCTACCGCGAAATTTGCCGCCGGGAGAACAGCCGCCGCGACAAACTCGCTGCCGAGGGCGTCGAGGAGGCCAAGCCGCGCCTCGCCACGCACGAGAGCAACGACACGGACATAGACGATCTTGCGTTCCGTTTTGTGCTGTAGCATGGCGTTCTGGTGACGTTCTAAAGCGATTTTCCGGTGTTGTGCATTTCTTTTGGCTGTAACGCGACCTCCACCGTCATCCGGGCAGTGCGATAGGTCGTTCGCAGCTGCGGGAAGCTGAACGAGTGAACCGGGCAAGCTTTTGGCGGTTCAGGCAAGCGAAAGCTGTCCACTTGCAACCGCTCCTGCACGCCCCTGCCACGCCTCGACATCCCCGACTTCTCCGCTGCGTCGCTTCACCTTCTCCGTTCCCAAGTGATGTTGTAGAAAGCACAAGAATAGGCGGAGAGAAGCAAGCCAGTCTGCCGAGACAGCCATCTGTCATCCCCAGCTGGGGAGGCGCTAGAGAACGAGGCAAGACAGCTCCACCCTCGCCGTGGCCCTGCAAATGCCTTTGTCTAAGCGTTTGTCGCGCTGATAGCGTAGCAAGACGCACCCTCGCTGCCCACCGTGCGAGAACTGATGAGATTTGAGAGAGGGCGAGCAGGCGGGTGTGGGCGCTGGGGAGAAGCTTTGAAGGCGCCGAATGAGTGAGCAGTATTGAAGATGGGCATAGCACTGCGGAGCGAGGCAATCTGAGCGTATGGGTGAACGGTAGAGAGCCAACCCTGTTCGCGAGGAGGTCGACCGCCAACTGCTCACTGCTGACCTCGAGAACGCTTGACTTGGAAGCTCCACGCCTCGCTTAACTGTCCTTCGAGCCCTTCAACCCTACCTCACCGCCTCACGAGCCCGCCGTCGCGCCTCTCTCCGCCAGTACCCACGCACCCTTTGTCGCCTCGCTCGCCAAGATGGGCGCAGGACAGAGCCAGATCCTGGAGGACATGGAGAAGAATACGAATTGTGCGTGGAGCCTGTCCTTGCGTTGCTTGGATTAGCTGTTCGCGAGCTGACGTATTGCTCGTCTCCCCCACTTCATCCTCTCTTCCTTCGCTTCGTCTGGCTGATTCGTTCAACTTTGTGTGCACTGTCGCCTTGTAACGACGACGCCACGACTGAACCGATGCGGACCCGTTCCTCTTCCGATCCCTCCTCCCCGTCACCCTCGACTACTCCGAATGCCCAGTCTCTGCTGCTGAGATCCAGCGACTGAAGAAGCGGTTCATGAAGCTCGATAAGGACGGTTCAGGCTCGATCGACAAGGACGAGTTCCTCCAGATCCCGCAGATTGCGACCAACCCGCTCGCAAGTCGAATGATTGCCATCTTTGACGAAGAGTGCGTTCGAGTATCGGTTCTTGCACACAGGGTGTAACTGAACTGATGTGATGCTTGTCTCGCAGCGGCGGCGGAACGGTCGACTTCCAGGAGTTTGTCGCCGGCTTGAGCGCGTTCAGCAACCGAGGAGGGCGGGACGAGAAGCTCAAGTGTGCGTTAGACTGCGTTACGGCGGCTCGAAGCACCTTTTAACGTCTTGATGTGGCTCGACAGTTGCATTCAAGGTGTACGACATGGACCGGGACGGCTTCATCTCGAACGGCGAGCTGTTCCTCGTGCTCAAGATGATGGTCGGCAACAACCTGAAGGTGCGTTCCGCTTTGCATCGCTACGGTGGCTTCCGAAGCTGACCTGGGATTGCACTCTCAGGACCAGCAACTGCAGCAGATCGTCGACAAGAGTCAGTCTCCCTCTCCTTCCCTTCGCAACCCAAGCTGGCGCTGCACTGTGACCGGTCGTCCTTCGTACCAGTGCTGACGCTCGACGCGTATCGACAGCCATGATGGAGGCGGACCAGGACGGTGACGGCAAGCTCAGCTTCGACGAGTTCAAGGATATGGTCGCCTCGACAGACATCGCAAAGCAGATGGTCAGTTCACACTCACCTCGTGGAAAAACGTTTGATCGGTGTTGCTGACTATCTTTGCGTTGCATGCGACTTCTCAGACTCTCGAGGGTACGACCGCAACCGTCTGACCCTTTCCTCTGTCGTAGGCTGACGCTGACTGCCTCTTGATCGTGCTCGCAGACATGTGGTGATCTCCTACACCCTCTCATGGACACTAGCTAGCGCAGAACGCCCGACGCAGGCCGTACATTCTTGGCCGGCGCATTCATCGCTCCTTGACGATTTCTCCCCTCGCACTCTCCCTCATGTAGAAACATGTCATCCTCTGATTATACCCCATCTTTGCAACTCAACACGCTCGTTCAGCTACATCTGCGTATAAAGTTGAGGTCGCTCATCGTGGCCCTCTTCTCCTCGTCCCTCAACCACTCGCACGACATGTCGCTGTTCGGCTCTGCTACGACTTCCGCTGCGCCGTAAGTCGTTTCGAATGCTGCCGTCACTCTCTTTCGCGCGCTCACGCTCGTTTCGCTTGATGAACAGCACATTCTCCTTTGGCAGCACACCCGCCGCTTCCACCGCCCAACCCGCATCAGGGACCGCCGCACCCTCTCTATTCGGCAGTTCGACAGCTCCTGCGACGTCCACCACAGGCGGCGGGCTCTTTGGCGCTAAGCCAGCGGGAACGACGACATCGCTGTTTGGTGCTCCCGCAACATCGACGGCTGGCGCTCCTGCGGCTGGCGGAGGGCTCTTTGGAGGCGTGAGTGCGGTACCTGCGGCTGCTGCGAAGCCCACCTTTTCCTTCGGCGCACCGGCAGCCTCGACTTCGACAACCGCTCCTCCCACATCCGCACCCTCCCTCTTCGGCTCGACTACCGCGACTGCGCCAGCTGCGGGGACTGGAGGTGGACTATTCGGCTCGACAACAGCGGGAGCGGGTACGACAGGAGGGTTGTTTGGCGCGAAGCCGGCAGGAACGACCGCACCTGGGCTTGGAGGAGGGCTGTTCGGTTCGATAGCCGGTGCTAGGTAAGTGGGAATGCTTTCGGCAATCCTCTAGATTGCCGAGGGAGGGCTTCGTGGTGAAAGCAAGCGCTCATCTTTTCCCTTCCGCAGCACGACTGCTCCTTCATTCGGCGCTTCGTCGACTCTGGCGGCACCAAGCGCAGCAGCACCTGCTGCAGGGTCCATCACGAAGAACACAAAGTTCAACGACTTGCCTGACGCGGCGCGGAATGCTGTCGAGGAGATTGAGTACGTCTCGCTCTGCTTTTCAGCGCTCGCGTCTTTCGCTAAAGCCTGTCTTTCCCGCTATCCAGCAAGTTCATCCGGCAACAATGTCAGCTTGCAGACGAGCTAAAGGCGAAGGACTTGGGAAGCGAGGTTGCGCAGACCCAGCGGATGTTTGAGCAATACTCGGCGGTGCGTCTCGTCGCGCTTGTTTCGGCAGAAGTGCGGAAGCTGATGCTCTTCGCGCTTTACAGGAAGCGTCCACCGTCACCTCTCTCCTCCAAACCGACGCGCGACTGCTCACGACCCTCCGCACCGAACTCGAACAATCTCTCGTCGACTTGACCAAGACGACAACACTTATCGAGGGCTTCAAGGCGCCGCAGTCGCAGAAGGCGGCGGACGCAAAGGCGGTGGCGACGTTCCCATACGAGTACTTCCGACGAAAGACGGACGAGATGCGGGAACGGATCGGGCGGTACAAGGCGACGATGGATGTGCGTTGCGCGCTTTTATCGGCTACAAACTCGGTAGCTGACGTCGCGTGGTGGTCTACAGCAAGTCGCCTCGCTTCTTTCATCGCCCTCACACGCCTTGTCCCCTTCAGCCATCCCTCCGACCCTCAAAGCGCAACACGCCTCGCTTGTCTCGCTCGCGTCCGCCGTGTCCGCACTCGACCTCGAACTCAAGGGCCTCAAGGACGACTATCGGGTGATCTGGCGGGAGAAGACGGGGCGGATGGTCGATCCGTTCAGGCTGGGTGGAGGAGCGGGAACGGGAGGAAGTGGGCTGGAGAAGGGTGTTGGCGGGATGTCCCTGCGGTAGCGGATGACGGCGCCTGTATTCGAGAAGCTATCTCGCTTCAACGCTTGCCGTGCGACGATCCTCCTCGCTTCTTGCCCCGCTTCGCTCGTGCAATCACCTTCACTGGCTTGGGCGGCGATTTTGGCTTGGTCACATGCATTGTCTGGATGAGGCCAAAGCCGCAGAGTTTGAGTGCTTCCTTTCCCATCTGTCCGCACGCAGCTATCGTCAGCGTCGCCATGACCTGGGATGACAGCGGGGATGACAGCGAGATGCGCACCGCGTTGATCGCTCGAAACCGGTCGGATCCCATCGGCACTCCACCATACCACCTTGTCACCACGAGCAGCAGATCTTTCGCATCCTGTCAGACCTTCATTTTGTCAGCGCCGAGACAAGAACAGAAGGAGAACGGGTACGCACGACCTTGCGCAGCAGCTCGAGGAGGTTCTTCCCCGCCGGCGGTTCTCCATTGCAGTCGCTTCCTTCTAGCAGGGTCGCAGGCGACTTGTCGTCAGAGGGCTTCGAGATGCGATAGGCGAGGATGTGATGACTGCACAACCTTGAAGTCAGCTACGAGCGGGATTGCCGGGTCAGAGACGAGGAACGAACGTCGCCCTAGCCCCTTTCTTCTGGGTAATGATGTGCTGGATAGCGAGAACTGCCTGTAGACGACGCAAGTTACGGTCAGCAACTGCCGTGACCTTAAGCTGTCTTCTTTCGAGTCCTCGAAGCCGAAGAAACGCACCTCGTCTATCGACCGAACTCTGACTGCATGCCCGCGGAACATGCTCCTCTTCTCGCTATGAATAGGGCTCACACGGATGGTCGTATCGGGCGGGAGAGGTGGCATGCGGTAGCGAGCGTTCGGGTGCGAGGGTTTGAATGAGGGAGGGAGGAGGTGGTGAAGCAAGCGGCTCGCGGATGGTCGCATGGCTACCCGCTGAGCTTCTCGCAGGGAGTGAGACGTCCAGGAAGTCGTCACAGCGCGTCGCAGTGAACGGCTTCGGGTCGAGGAGGTCGAACAGCTGCTCAGGCTTGACACACCCGCTCTCCTCGCTATCGAGGCACTTTTGGCCGCTTCATTGATTGCTCAGACGCTATGCAACGTACGCATACCATCGATACTGGCCGCTGCGCCCGCTCTCGCACGCACGCCGACTTCATCAGTTTCTGGCTCAACCGACCTCCGACAGCCACGCCGGGGGCATGGCAGGGTGGGAGACTCCGCCGTGGAGTCAATCAGAGGCCTCTTGTCGAGTACAGGGCAGCGCCGTAGCAGGGACGGCGGTGTTGCGCCCAAGCAGGACCCTTCTTTCCTCGACGACCTATGGAGACTCCTCAGATCCGCACACTGCGAGCCAGGACCGCCGCAAGGCTCGTATGAGAGTCTGTACCGCTGCCTCAGCGTCTGCACGAGGCCTCTTAAAGCGGCCTCGCGCGCCTGTGCCTCGATCTTGCTCGTCTCTGGCTGTCCAGGCTTGTCCGACGCGCGCTTTCAGCGTGTTGGCACATCGCGTGTCTCATGGCGCGGACGGCTGCAGGTCTCGCACAGCTGCTCCTTTACAGATGCCAAGGCGCCAAGCTACGAGATCAAGGGATCGACCCGGGAAGAAGCCGGCTGTATTTCTGCACACACAGTCGAAAACGCACACCTCTACTCCTCCGCACCCCCAACACTGACCTCCTTCCGACCCGCTGCGCCGCTCAAGCCCTTCTCAACGCTACCACGGATCCTCTCGACCGCACCCTTCCAGTCCTCGAGCCGCGCCTGGACGGTCTTCCATTGCTCGGCGGTGAAGGACGACGAGGTGGGCGAGACGCGGGTGATGTAGAGCGTTTGGGTGGGCTGGGAGAGGCGGCCTTGGAGGAGGGAGGCGCGGATGGCTGCGAAGGTAAAGCGCGAGTCAGCGATGACTAGCGAAGAAGGTAGGGAAAGCGCAGCGCACCGTCAATGACAAACGTCTCGACCTCCTCACCCTCGTCGGCAGCTGCACCAGCCTCGACACCGACAGCCTTAGCGATCTCGTCGTACGAAACGCTCTGTCCAACGCGGTCCGCACAGACATGCGCGAGCTTGATCAGGCGCAACTTTGTCTCGAGTGCGTCGCGGTCGAGGTCGGACGAACCGAGGTCTGAAGGGAGGGAAGACGAGGAGGAGGGGGACTGGAAGGTCTTGAGGAGGGAGGAGAGAGAGGAGGGGAAGGACGAGGCGGAGAGAGAGGGGTAGGTCGAGGGGACGAGCGAGGCAAAGTCGTAAACGTCGTTTGCGGACAGACTCAACGTGACGAGCTTGGCAGCGAGGCGGGCGGTCGAGTCGGACGTCGACTTGGTCTTTGCGAGGTACGAACGCAAGAGAGCGAGCGCCTCGTTCGTCAAGCCCTTGGAGACGAGCGTGTCGACAACCTCGAGGACAGCCTCATCTGCGAGATCCGACTCGACCTGCCATTCGTCGAGCAACCACGAGACGAATGAGTCCTTGAGAGCGGGGAGGACAACCGAGGTGTCGTCGTTCTTGGCGGTGAAGGCGACGAGCGAGCGGAAGAGGGCGAGGCGGAGGGAGGTGGCGGACGCGGGGAGCGAGTTGAAGACGGTGGCGAGGGAAGTGTACCGTGCGGCGAGCGACGGGTTGACGTTGGCCCTCAGGCCGGACGACGACTCGATGAGGGTGAGGGCGGAGGCGAGCTGGCGGACGAGCTGGGAGTACTGCTCCTCCTCTGCGTCGTACAGCCCCAAGACGAGCGAGAGAACCAGGTTGGCGAAGCCCTCAAACTCGCGGTCCGACTGCGCCTCGAGCCGGACGCCGTCGACGCTGGCGACGAGCTCCGCGACGACCTGTCGCTTGCGCTCGCGCGTCTCGGGCGTGTCCTGGACCTTCTTCGGCTCGTCGTCGTCGTGCTCTGCGTCGCCGTTCGGTTGGGGAGAGGGAGGGAGCGCGTCTTTGGCGAGCGAGGAGAGGTGGGCGATGAACTGCTGCCTGTCCGCCTCTGGCCGGCTCCGTGCGACAAGGGTGGCTGCCTCCGCAACCTGTGTGCACAATGCATGCTGCGGTTAGCCCAGCCAGTCCCTGCAAGCGCCGAGAGGAGAGACTCGCCTGGTCGTCAAAGGCCGGGTCGACGGCGACGAAGAAGCAGCGTCCGCCGTGCGAGTGGGTGAAGTCGTCTGTGAATGCGTCTGTGCTCATCCTGTCCAGCCTCGCACAAGTCACACAACAGCCAGAAGAGCGAGTCGAGCGCGTGTGTGAGGGTGAGCCAGCGTCGTCGAGCTCGCTCTGCCTTTGTCCTCGTCGCCTGCCAACTCCAGCTTGCTCGGGGCCAGAGACTGCCAGTGTGACTGTTCACAGCTTGTCAACCCACCCAGACTCGAACAAACCCGCCCGTGCGCCATGTCGTCGCTCACCCTCGCCCTCCCCGCGTCGTCCCTCCCGACCGCTCATCGCCCCGTCCAGCGCGTGCACGCCCACCCGGCAGTGCTCGCCTCCGTCCTCGACGCCCACCTGCGCCGGAACACCCAGCAGGACCGCGTCTTCGGGACTCTGTTGGGCGTCCGCGATGTCCAGTCGGGCACCGTCGAGCTGAGGAACGCGTTTGGCGTGCCGTACGAGGTCAGGGGAAAGGGACAGGTCACCATCGACATGGACCACCACCGCGCAATGCTCGACCTGCACCTCAAGGTCAACCCGCGCGAGGTCGTCGTCGGATGGTGCGTTTCCCTCCTCTCGCTCGCTAGATGTTCATTCGCTCACTTGCTGTCGCTCCTGCGCAGGTACGCGACGTCGCCCCAGCTCAACTCGTTCTCCGCCTTGATCCACAACTTCTACACCTCCGAGTCGGCCCCCCACCCGGCCATCCACCTCACCCTCGACCCCTCCTCTCTCTCCTTCGCCGCCTACACCGCCTCCCCTCTCGGCCTGCGCGCACAAGACGCCCACCTCGCCTTCACGCCCGTCTCGACCTCCCTCCGCGTGCCCGAACAGGAGCGACCGGGTCTCGACCTCCTCACTTCGAACCTCTCGTCCCTCTCGGCCCTCGCTCCCGCCCCTACCAACCCCGAGACCCCCCAAACTCCCCTCCAGACTCTCCAGACCCTCCTCGCGACCGTCTCGCAAATGCTCGACCAGGTCCTCGCTTACGTCGCAGACGTCGTTTCTGGCGCCCGCGAGGGCGACGAGAAGGTCGGACGTGCGCTGTACGAGACTGTTGGCCACGTTCCGCGTCGTGCGCCTGCTGCTGTTGCCGCGAATGAGGACGACGAGGAGAAGGCTGCGGGCCAGAAGGACAAGAAGAGCGGTGCGGCAGCGGCCAGGCGCGACTTTGAGGAGGAGTTCAACGCGCACCTCGCGGATGTCCTCATGGTGCGCCGCGAATCTCGCTTCCTCATAATGCGCGGACCTATACTGACGGACTTTGTACTCGCGCAGGTCTCGTACCTCGCCAACGTGATCAGGACCCAAGCCGAGCTGTCGAGCCGGCTCAACCTGGTCATCTAGTCTGCCTCCTTCCGCTTACTTTCTCGTCGTCTCTCGCATGTGTAGAATGCCCTCGTGCTTGGATGGGGTAGAAAAGGCTCACTAGAGCCGTCTCCTACATCTCGCTCGCCACGTCCGCCGAGAGAGCAGGGAGTCCCTCGTCATGAGAATCGTCAAATACACGCTGCATCGCCTCTCGTTACATCACCCTCATCTCCGCGCCCTTCCCCGCCTCACAGACCCAATCTCCTCGCCGCCCTCCGACTAACAGGCGCCCCAAACCTCCCAAACGTCTGCGCGCTCCCGCTCACCCCGATCTTCGTTCGCGTCCTGGCGCTCGTACTCGGGTCGGCGTTGGCGTGGGAAGCGGGAGACTGGGAGGGAGAGAAGCGCGGGTCGTCGTCGTGGTCTTCTTGGAATGAGGGGGAGTAGCGAGAGCTTGAGTGAGAAGGAGGGGAGAAGCGAGAGTCGTAGGAATTGTTGTAGGAGTCGGCGTATGGCGAACGAGAGGACGAGGTAGGGGAGAACGTCGAAGGACGGGCGGTAGTCGAGCGCGAGGCAGACGGGGCGCAGCCGGAAAGGTGAGAAGTGGGCTTGCCGACCGTTGTTCGGCTGAACGGCCGGGTCCCCTTGTCCTCCTCTTCGTACTGGCCGCCGTAGGTATCGTTACCTCTTTCCCAGCTCGGCGGGCCGCCCCTTGCGCCGCCTCCGACCGTTGTCCTCAGTCCGCCTCCTCCTCCTCCTCTTCTCCCCTGCTCCCTCTCCCTGACCCGGTCCCTCTCCCTCTCCCGCTCTTCCTCCTCCTCCGAGTCCTCCGACTCCTCCGACGAAGACCCAAACGGATCGTAGCTCTCGCCTTTCGAGCGCGTAAACGATAAGTTCCGACCGCGCTGCTTGACTGCATCGGGCTCCGGAGAGAGAGAGGGCGACGGAGCGGCTGAGCGGACGTTGCGATCGTTGTACTGGCGGCGAGATGAGTCCGGCTCTGAGTCAAAGGTAGAGTCGAGGTCGGAGCGGGGGAAGGAGCTGTCGGAGAAGGCGGCGGAGGACGGCGCAGAGGAGGGAGGAGGGAAACGGTAGGGCGTGCCTTGCGAGACCGTGGCGGGCGACTGGGCGGCACTCTGGCGTGGACGACGGGAGTAGTCGTCTTCGTCGTCAGAGGGAGACGGCGACCGAGCGCGACGACGCTCCTTCGGACGATCCTCTTCGCTCGACTCGTCCTCCTCCCGCTCATTCTGCCGATACGCCGACGATGGAGGCCGACTGACTGTAGTACGGTACGTGTCTGGACGCACGGGCTGCGGGCGGATGGGCGACTCGTTCGAGGTGTACGCGCGGGGAACGCGGATGGGCGAGTGCGGCGAGACGATGGGCGGGAGAGCCGAGGGGTTGCGCTCGTTCGAGCTGGTCGTGAGCGGCGAGAGACGGCGAGAAGCGGCGTCGTTGCGGCTGTAGGGATCGTTGAAGCGTGCCTGCGGCCTGCGGTCATCCCGGCGCCCGACTCGCCGCACCTCGTCCTCGACTGCCTCGACTTCGCGTTGGACGCGGCGGTACGCTTCGCCAGTGACGTCCTCGACGTCTTCGGCGATACGGCGGGGGAGCTTCTCGACCTCCTTGAGAATTTTTCGGTCGCGCTGGGCGACAATTGAGCGAGGAGGGCTCTGCTCGCGGTCGTATGCGGCGCGAGCGGAGCGAGCTGTACTACCAGGCGCTGGCGGAGCTGTTAAGCGGTAGCGGGATCAGTCTCGTGCGAGCAGGGAGTGAGGCGGAGGGACCGTACCTGCTGCAGCCTGCTTCGAACGCCGCGGCTCCTTCTCTTCATCGCTCTGACTCACGTCACCCCGACGCCTGGTATCGACCGAAACAGGGGAGAAGTTTCGTCGACTGACGACAGACTCGGGAATCTCGTCGCGTCCACGGGTTGAGACCGTTTCAGGGGCAGACGACTCTGAAGGCGAAGGCGGACGAGGCGCCCGACGACGAGAGCGAGAGCGTGCCGAGTGCGGCGGAGCTTGGGCGTCGTCGCTGTCTGAGTAGGACTTACGGACAGGCGGGCGAGGCGGTGAGCGAGCATCGTTCCGGCTCGGACGGGTGCGGCTACCCTGCTCGTCCTCCGAAAGCGAGTGCCGGCGGCTGGAAGCTGCAGCTGGGCGTTCCGTCGCGACGTCCTTCTGCTGGCGTCCAAGTCGGCGGCGGCGATCGAGATCTTCGTGGTAGTCGTCGTCCCTCTCGCGATGCCGTCCTTCCTCCTCGTGACGCGGCGGCTTGGCGTCCTCGCGAGTCCCGGAGACGTTTGAGACGATGTCGACGACCGACTTGCGCAGGTTCTGCATGCCTTTGTCGAGCGTCGCCGAGACAGACATGGCCCGACTTCGACGAGAAGGAGGAGCTTCTTCGTCGTCCAGCTCGGAAGGCGATTCGACATTTGACGAGCCGTGATGGCGGTGGCGAGATGAGCGCTCGCGCCGAACGTCCACGGCGGGCGGATCTGGCGAGACATCGCGGGCTGGACGAGCATTCAGGCTTTTGTCCTCAGCCGGCTCGCGTCTGGAACGACAAGATGATCTGTCGTCGCGCGTACTGGCCACCGCACCGTCCTCACGCTCGTGCTGCTTATTCCGCCGCTTGTCCGCCTTATTCTCCTCCTTCCGCTCAGCCTGACCCGCATCGTTGTCAGCTGCGTCGGCGGCGGCTCGACCAGAGGTCCTTGACTCCCGCGCTTCTTCTTCCTCCTCCTGCTTCGCCCGCGCCGCCCTTCTCGCTGCCCTCGCTTCGCGGCGTAACCGCCGCTCCTCCTTCCGCTGCGCACGAGCCTTCTCGTCGTCAACCTCGTGCTCGAGCACCTTCTGCTCCACCTCGCCGACTGCGAGCTCGCCCTCTATCTTGAGCAGCGTCCCCACGCTCTTGAGCCATCCGCCGAGGACGGCTTTCGCAGTCGGCTTAGGCGGAGGAACGGGAGGCTTCTCCACTTCCTTCGGGTCGAAGCCTTCATCTTTCGGTTCGTGTCGAGCACGCCGAGCCGAGCGGCCCTTCGAGGCAGAGCGACGCTTGGCTTCGAGGAGAGTCGTCTCGCCACCGGCCGGGATGTCGAGCTCGTGATCGTCGAGGTTGCCGCGGACAAGCGTGTCTTCGTCGGAGTCGTCACGACGATGGCGATTGCGGCTGACAGAGCGCCAGGAGGGCGTACGCTCGAGCGGGGCGGCGGCAGGAGCTGCGGAACCGGGCTTAGGCTTCGTCGTGTTACGAGCGCGATGTCCATGTCCTTGCTCCGCTTCGGTCGTGTCAGGAGATGGTGACCGTCTGCGGCGGGAGGAGCGTTTTGCATCTGATGTACGGGCGTCTTTGGCGGCGGGCGAAGGGCTGCGGGACGCCTTCCGTTCGGCTGGAGAAGGCGAACAAAGCGTACGCCGAGCGCGGTCCCTTGCGCGGCTCGATGGCTGTGCTGATGCGGGAGATGGGCTGCGGGAGGGGCGATCAGGCGGAGGTGACAGCGTGCGCTCGTCGGGGGAAGGCTCGCGCCGTCGTTGACTGCGTTGGCGGCCGTCCGAGCCATCCGCACGATTTGGCGAGACGCCGCTCCGAGTCGAGCGGGCTGTTCGTTCGGGACGAGAAGGAGGTGGAGGAGAGGGAGATATCGACCGGCGAGACGACGTCCGTCCGATCGGTTTCGACTTGACGATCGGGTATGCCTTGTCATTTGCAGCTTCTTCCACCGACGAGATCGAAGTGCGCCGCTGCCGACGCGCAGAACGAGACGAACGAGATGCTTCAGCCGAACGCTCGGGAGAGTCTCCTCGCTTGACGTCTTCGCTCGCCCGCTTCTGGACAGAGGAGGCGGCCTTGCGGGTCTTCACCGAATCGTCTGAATCCTCGACGTCGTGACGTGCTTGAGTCGCCTGCTTGTGGGAGGTTGGCGCCCGATCGTCGTCAGGCTCAGCGGACGCTGGCGATGCAGGCTTGCTGGACAGCCCATTAGTCTCGAATGGCGGCTCGACGCCGTCCTCGTCAGAGTCGGGCGCGGCAGCCGGACGGTTGAATCGAGGTCGGTCGGCGTCAGGAGAGGCGGGCGCAGGAGTCGGCGCTCGATTGGCGGCAGCTTCGAGCGCTTCGGCCGTGCTGTAAGGGTCGGCGCCGGCGCCGTCGGGAGGCGGGTCGTTCTCATCTCCTGTGCGGGAGTAGGAGACGGAGCGGTCGGTGTAGGCGTGCTGAGGACGGTTCGTCAGTGAAAGAGGCCGCCTCCTGGGGCAACGTCTGACGCACCCAGGTCGCGACGTGGCGGTCGTCTTGGTAGATGTACAGCGAGAGGTGCAGCTTGGGATCACCGACGGACCGCGCCCAGTTCTTGCAGACCAGCGCGTACATCCCATGCTCCGACTCGCGCGCGCTGACGACGTCGTGAACGTACGAGCCCTCCTTGAAGTTCTGCTCCAGGTACCGAATGACACTGCTACGCTGAATGTCGGTCTTGAGCGAGTCGTGCAGTGCGGTACGAGTCGAGTCTTCCTCGACCTCGTGTGCGAAAGGAAGTTGGTGGGCGTGTTCGGGAGGACGTCCGCTCCCGAACTTGACGTGTAGAAATGCTGACATCTGCTTGGCGTGCGACGAGCCGAGAGAGGGTGTAGCGGAGCGAGAGAACAAAGAGGAGAGGCGCTTCTTGGAGGAGGACCGAAGGCGGCTCGTCACTGCAGGAGAAGTCGGTCAGCGCTGAGTTTGACAGGGGTGAGCGTGACGTACTGCGTTTACAACACGAACGACGTGATGGTAAGGGAGAAGAGAGAGAGGCGTTGAAAGCAGGAGGCTCGTTCGCCGGAGTATCCGCGGACCAGCTTTGGGCGCACCACGACTTGACCACGACCGGCAGGTGCAGTGAGGGACAGCGCTCAAATGGATAAGGAAGCGCAGAGCTAGAAGCCGCGCGTACGCGAAAGGCGGGAACGTCGAGGAGAAGAGGAGGTCGAGGCGGACGAACGATGTGCTGCAATGCGAGTCTAAGCGAGCAAACAGTCGACGAGAAGTTACAGGCCGTTGGGGGCTCGGTTGTGCTCAGGATCCCGTTCGCGTACTAGGCGCTCGAGGTCTCTGAGGTAAGCGTCTTCGGATGCGGGACACAGTTGGCGGACGGCGTTGGCGAGGTTGTAGACGTAGTCCTGCGGGCGGAAAGAAGACGGCAAGACGAGCGAGGTCAGTTCAATCGTAATCAGTTACGTGGGACGAGCGGGAAGAGGGCCAGAGCCATGAGCCCTCAGGCTGGAGAAGCTGGAGAGGGCGAACTCGAGCGTACCTTGTTCGCACCGGATGGACCAACTGATTGCGCAATGTGATCCGCCAGCTCTGCCATTGGCATGCCTCCGGCAAAGCTTGGGTTGCGCGTCTCGCCGACATAGACGCGGACCTGCGATTTCGAGGTCTGGTTAGTCCTGCGCTCTGTGGCATAAGCGCAACCTCGAAGACGTCGACGTACGCCTTCCTCGACGACCATCTCGTTTCCGTTCTCGTCGATGCCGTAGACGTCGACTGTACGCAACGTATAGCCGTCCTTCTCGCGGTGATCGAGGTACGCCCAGATCTCGTCTGAGCGTTCCTTCGGTATCCGGTAGACGCGACCTGCGCAGGAAAGTGTGTCAGCACTCGGAAGACCTTGGAACAGCGGATGTGCAGACCCCAGACATGGTGCGAGCCTAGAGGGTCATCCTGCACTCTGAGGAGGTGTGAGTCTCGTGTAAGGCCGTTCACTTCGCCACGCACCTTCCGATGCTCCTCCCAGTCATCCTCCGTGACCAGCGTCACCACTGCGAGGCGCAAAAAGCGTCAGTCCGGCGACATAACTCGTTAACAACTTCGAAAGCAAACACACCTCGACCTGGATTCGCTGGTGTCCCCCGGTGGTCGTGCGATGCCTGCGCAAACCGTCGTACGAAGCCCTTGATGTAGCCTGGCGTGCTTTCCAGGTCGAATGGCGGGGCCTGCGGAGGCGGAAAGCAGGCGGTGGTCAGGAAGTGCCTTCCTCAGCGTCCCGTAACCTTCAGCGGGCAGGGTCTCGAGCGCACCTTCCAAATAAGACTCCCGTAGCCGAATACAGACGACATCCTGGACGAACGGAGCCGTGTCAGCGGCAGCCTTGCGATTCGAAGACCTCGCGCTCCTCGAGGCCTGCCAGTCGCCCAACAACGCCTGCACGGCCCGTGCTACTCGTTCAGGTCCCGCTGCACCCGTCGACGGCTGCACCCGTCCTCGCCGCGCGCCCCGCCTTCCCCTTGTCCGCCCTCACTTCTGTCATCAGTCCTCTCCTTCCTCCACATCCCGCTGTCGCCGACTACCGAGCGCTCATTCCTGCTGAACTCACCCACGCGATGCTCTATAGCTGTACAGTCTAATGCCGAGCCGATCCAAGCAGTGTGAGGGAGGCCACCGGATTGCGAAGGGTAAAGGTTGGATGAGCGAGGAGGAGGATGGTCCATGGCTGCTGTACCGGGAGGAGGCGACTGCTGCGTTACTCCTAGCTGTCGGAGGTGCGGGCGGACGAGCGGACTGGTCACTGGTGAGTCCTCCTCTCCTCTCCCGGACTTCCTCGTCCATACTGACTGCTTCCTCCTTCCCGTCCCTGCTTCGCTTGTAAAGTGCTCTCACTGGACAGACTCTTACCGCTTAAGCTGGCCCCCTGAGCGAAACGCTCGCTCTCGTGAATCCGTCGTCGCTCTTCCTCGACCCGCTCGCACATCCTCCTCTTTCGGCTAGGCGCAGACACATCCTACTGTTGCGACGGTACTATGGCAGCTCAAGCTCGTTCTTCGCTCCGTCGACTCGTCAAGAAGCGCGTGCGGGGAGACGCTGCTTTTGCTCGACCGATTCTTGCCGCTGCAGTAGCCTGCTATCGGCGCTGTCACCTCGCATGGTCTCGATTTCCGAGGCCTTGACCACGGGTGGCACAAAATCATTCCGCTCGATGCTGGCGTTCGGCTAGGGTCGCTCGCGCGCTCGTGACGAAACTCTCAGGTGCGTCTTTCCTCCTCCGCTCAGCTTGCCTCGGGTCGCAGCGGCTTCTTCTCGATCTCTTCTGCTTGTACTGACTTGTTCATGCTCTGTGTACCGTAGCTCGACAGCAACAAGCGGCATCGGTTTTCCCGCGAGCAGGCGCGGCCGAACGCCTCCTGCCCGGATCTGCATGTCTCAGAGCTGGATCTTGGCATCAGATACGGATTTTCCATGCCCGCCTCCTCCCGAGCCCGCACCGAGCTCGCGGGTGCGCTGGCTCTCGCCTTTCTGCCTCCTTCAGCTCCCTTCCTGCCCTCTTTTATTGCCCTACGCCCCGCGCCCGCCATGTCTGCGCACGCACCGACTCTTTCACGCCTACACTCCCAAGATGGCTCATCGCATGAAGACAAACGCTCGCTGGAGGAAACGCCCGACACGACCCGCGCCCCTTCAAGGCCTGAACCGGTGCGGCGCATGGGCGAGATCGACGTCTCGATGGGTGTCGCCCGCATAGAAGCCATCAACAGCTGCTTGACGACGCCTCTGCGCGCCTGGCTGATGTTTTGTGCGTCCTCCGCCCTCTTTCACCTGTGTGCGCATGCTGACGCATCGTCCCCCCCAGCTGCCTTCCTCGTCGCCTATGCCTACGGACTCGATGCTACGGTCCGCGGCACCCTTCAAAGCTACGCCACCAGCTCGTTCCAGAACCACTCGCTTCTCGCGACCGTCAACGTCCTCAAGAGCATTGTGGCGGCGGCTTCCTACGTGAATCGAGTCGGCAGACTCTCGAGCGAAGTCACGCTGACTTGCTCTCACGTTCAGCCCGCCTACTCGAAGATCGCCGACACCTTCGGGCGACCCGAGGTCGTACTGTTCTCCGTCGTCATGGTGCGTACGCGAGAGCTGCTACGGGACTCGCGCTACGAGCTGATCACCCTTCCACTGCAGTATGTCATCGGGACCATCGTCGAGGCGACGAGCACGAACATCCAAAGCTTCTGTGCAGGCGCTGTACTGTACCAGTTCGGCTACTCCGCCGCGATCCTCATCGTCGAGGTCATCATCTCGGACTTGACGAGCCTTCGCAGCCGTCTCTTCTTCTCGTACGCACAGGTGACTGCGTTTTTCGCTCGAAATTACGCTAACGACCTCGCTCTTCAGCTACATCCCCGCGCTCCCCTTCATCATCAACTGCTGGGCCGGAGCGAACGTCGTCGCCCAGATCCAGGCAACGACAACCTGGCAGGTCGGCATCGGCATTTGGGCGGCGGTCTACCCGTTCTGCTGCCTCTGCCTCCTCGGCCCGCTCTACATCGCCCAGCGTCGAGCTAGGCGCGCGGGCAAGCTCGACGGCTATCTCACGCCTTTCCAGCAACTCGGCTTCAAGCGGCTCATGGTTACCGTCTTCTGGGAGCTCGACCTCGTCGGCTCGATCCTCGTGCGTACAATCATGAGTCTACCTCCCCTTGGCTTCTGCTGACGCACTGCTTTCCAGATCATCGCCGTCCTCGCCTTGATTCTTCTTCCGTTCACGCTTGCCGGCGGAGTCGACAAGGAATGGGCTGCTGAGCACAACATCGCCATGCTCGTCATCGGCGTCGTTGTCTGCATCCCGCTCCTCATCGTCTGGGAGACCAAGTACGCCAAGGTCCCGGCGCTTCCTTTCCACCTCCTCAAGACCCGCACCGTCCTCGGCTGCCTGGGTATCGCCACCTTCCTTGACGTCTGCTGGTACATGCAGGGTGCGTCAAGCGCGCTATCTCGTCAAGTCCTTCACTGCTGACCTCCGCCTGAGTAGGCGACTACCTCTACACGGTGCTCGTCGTCGCCTTCCACGAGTCCGTCCTCTCGGCCACGCGCATCACCTCGATGTATTCGTTTGCCAGCGTCATCACCGGAACGCTCGCCGGCCTCTTCGTGCGGTTCTGCCTACCACGCCTCAAACCGATTATCCTCGCGGGCGTATCGCTCTGGTTCATCGCCTTCGGCCTCCTCATTCATTACCGCGGCGGCGCATCCGCGCATTCAGGCATTGTTGGCGCGCAGGTCTTGCTCGGCATCTCGTGAGTGCTGCTCAGCACTTCCCGCGTAAGCTCGAACTGATTGAGCAATCTCGCAGGGGCGGCCTCTTCCCCTACCCCGCGCAGACGCTCATACAGACGGCAGGCAACCACCAGCACACCGCAATTCTTCTCTCGATCTACCTCGCCATCTACAACGTCGGTTCAGCCATCGGCGCGACCATCTCGGGCGCAATCTGGACGCAAGTCCTGCCCGGCAAGCTCGAGATCGCTCTTGGCGGCAACACTACGGCCGTCCAGGAATGGTACGGTAGTCCTTTCACGGCGATCACGACAGCCGCCGGACAGTGGGGCCAGCCCGACAGGATGGCCGTCGTCGATGCTTATCGACACGTCCAGCGACTGCTCTGCATCACGGGCATCGCGTTTGGTGCGCCCGTCTCTTGCTCTCTCGTGCCTTCACGCAGGTGCTGACTTCGACTTGCTACTGCAGCCGTGCCTCTCCTTCTCTGCGCCCTCGTCGTCCGCGACCCTGTCCTCGGCAAGGAGCAGAGTCTGCCGGACGCCGAGAAGGATGTCAAGGCGAGGGTCGACCGGATCTAGGAGGTAGGAGGCGGCGTTTCATGGGCAGTCTGCAAGCGCTCAAGGTGGAATGTGAGGACGATGGGCGAGACGAGGGACAGTTCGGCTTACGCCGCTCAATAGTGGCTCTGTATCCCGCTCTCCCGGCTGCAAGGCATTCCAAAGGGTTGTACGAATTGTTCGCTCGCTGAGAACGCACGCACGAAGCGAGCGTCGCCGCATCGCAAGCGACCTTCGCAACCCGCGTGCTTGCTCTCTACCTCTTCGCCCTCTCTCGCTAAGTTGCTTCGCTATGCGTGGGTTGAGCTCCTCCGACGACGAGGAGAAGCGCAAACACTCGCCCAGCCACCGGCAACAACGTCGCGCCTCTCGCTCCTCCTCCTCCTCGAACCCCACATCGACCCGCTATCTCGCGACCGTCCTCGCTCTCGCCGCAGCCGCATGCTTGTGGCGCTTGACCGATACCCACGGCTCGGGCAACGATGCTCGCGCACGCTCGCTCGGCAAGGTTGGGCGGCTGACGGAGTCTGAGCGGTCGGCTTGGGAGGCAGTTATCGAGCGGTGCGAGGACTTGCACAGGCTGCCCGGGGTGTCCGAGTCGCACTGGAGGCGGAAAGAGTCGGACAGATTCCAGCCCGTGCGTCCTGCGTCTCGAAACGCTCAAATCTCACGCTAATCCTCCCTCTCCTTCTCCTCAGGGAACGAAACCGACCCTCATCCGCAACGCGACAATTTGGACGGGCGAAGACGATGGCAAGGAGATCCTGTACAACACGGATGTCCTCCTGGACCGCGGCTTGATCGTCAAGATGGGCGAGAATCTCGATGGAGGACTCGACGGACTCGAAACGGTGGATGCCGACGGTGCTTGGGTGACCCCCGGCATCTTCGACATGGTGAGCATAGACTTCAGCCACTCTTCGCGTTCTGGCTGACCGCTTTGAGCAGCATTCGCACATCGGGGTCGACAGCTCGCCCGGATTTTCCGCTACGGACGACACAAACTCGCTTGCAGCGCCGGTTGTGAGTCCTGCCATCCCATTCTGCTTGACTGAGCGCTTACGAATAGGTGCAGCTTCCTTATCTTCGCTCGCTCGACGGCATCAACGGTCATGACCTCGCCTACCGCCGAACCGTCGCGGGCGGCGTCACCACCTCGCTCATCCTCCCCGGCTCAGCAAACAACGTCGGAGGTCAGGCCTTCGTAATCAAGCTCCGACCTACGGCCGAGCGCACCATCGACTCGCTCGTGCTCGAGATGCCGTGGAACGTGAAGCTGCCGAGCGGCGAGCGGAAGTCGAAGGGAGATCCGCCTCGCTGGCGTCACATGAAGATGGCTTGCGGAGAGAACATCCGGAACGTGTACCACCAAACCCGCCTAGACCTTTCCTGGAACTTCCGCTCGAACTTCGACGCCGCTCGGTCGCTCAAGCAGAAGCAGGACAAGTTCTGCTCGCGCGCTCTCGCTGCGCAGGAGGATGGCCCTTACTTGATGGACGACAAGGGCGACGTCGAGGACTTTCCGGATGATTTGAAGCTTGAAGCTCTCGTCGATGTCCTTCGCGGCAAGGTCAAGGTGAGCTTGCGTTCCTCCTGCGTCTTCTCCCTGTCCTGACCTTTTTCTTCCAGGTCAACACGCATTGCTACGAGACGACCGACCTGAACGCTTTCATCCGGCACACCGTAGAGTTCGAGTTCCCCGTTGCTGCCGTTCGTCCCTTTGTCCGCTCACTCGCCCGCCATCGCTGACATCGCGTTCTTTCAGTTTCACCACGCCCACGAGACGTACCTCGTGCCCGACCTGCTCAAGTCGGCCTGGCCTGGTAACGGCTCTGCGACGCCTGCCGTCGCGATCTTCTCGACGAACGGCCGCTACAAGCGCGAAGCCTGGCGCGGCAGCGACTACGCCGGCAAGGTCTTGTCGGAGCAGGGCATCGACGTGATCTACAAGTCGGACCACCCAGTCTCGGATTCTCGTCATGTCCTGTACCAAGCCCAACAAGGCCATCATTTCGGCTTGCCCGCACACCTCGCCTTGGCTTCCGTCATCTCGACTCCCGCTCGTCGCGCGGGCTTTGACCACCGCATCGGATACATGCGCCAGAACTACGACGCCGACGTTGTATTGTGGTCGGCTCACCCTCTCTCGCTCGGCGCGACTCCTCAGCAAGTTTGGATCGACGGCATCCCCCAGATCGTCGAGTCGTTCCCGCCTGCGACGCCTACGGAAGAGGAGACAACGCGCAGACACGGTCCGCCGCAGGCCAGCTTGCCCAAGGACTTTGACCCGACGCGGGAGCAGGAGGACGACGACTTTTCCTTCCTGAACCCCGGCCAGTCGAAGCACGCCAAGGGACCTGCTTTTGTTGACAGCGTCAAGTTCGTCGACGTCTCCGAGGTCCTCCTGCCTGGCGAGCACGGTGGCGAGCTCGCATCGATTGCGGAGGAAAAGCGAGTACACCCGCCCTTCCAGGTCGTCGTCGAGGACGGCAAGATCTCGTGCATGGCCAAGAGCTGTGAGACTGGCAGGCGCACCCCTGTCGTCAACTTGCACGGTGGAAGCCTCCTTCCGACGTTCACCTCGTTCGGCGCCGCCCTCGGATTGACCGAAATCATCGCGGTGTGTGCCGCTCTTTCTGCGTCGCAGAGCCGCCGCTGACTTTCCACTCGATTTCAGGAGAAGTCGACGACTGAAGCTGCCGTCTGGGATCCGCTCCTCAATCCAAAGCTTTCCGAGACACAGCAGAAGGTCGCTGCGCACGTCGGCGTCAAGGCTATCAACGCGCTCAGTTTTGGCGGCAAGCATCTGAAGACGGCTGCAGAGAACGGCGTTGGCAAGGCGGTCACGGCGCTTATAAGCAACGACTTCCTGTACGTCTTGCCCTCACTTCTCTTAGTCGCCTTGCGCTTACTCTGAATATGCAGCGGTGGCTTGAGCGTTGCTTTCCGTACAGGTGCTGGCAACAGTGCGTTCCAGCTTTCGCTTGCGTCGATACTTCATGATTGATCTCTGCCTACGCAGTCCTCGAGGACGGAGCTATCATCAAGGAAGTGTCGGCCGTCCACGTCGCCATCGGTGCGTCCACCTCCACCTTGAATAGGTCTTAAATACCCATCGCTCGCTGTGCAGGTCACTTCGGCTCAGCTGCGCCGGTCGCTGTCGAAGTTGCTGCTCTGCGGCGCCTCCTCACGCGCACGTCGGACGTTTCCGATCGAGGGTCGCTTGATGAGCCTCATCGTCACGCCTTTGATGAGGTATCGTCCGGCAAGCTTCCGCTCGTCATTAAGGTGGACAAGGCAGACGTGATCGCGACTTTGCTGAGGCTGAAGGAGGAGGTCGAGAAGGATGGAGGTACCGAGCAGCGGTGGATCATGTGCGTCGGCTATGTGATGCCCTCGAGCTGCTCTTACTGACTCGTCAACTCAGCGCTGGAGGACAGGAAGCCCACCTCCTCGCCTCTGAACTCGCCGCAGCCAACATCGCCGTCATCCTTACCTCTCCTCGCGCCTTCCCGACTACCTGGGACCGTCGTCGCGGCCTTCCCGGCCCGCCTCTCACGCCGGATACGCCAGCGGTCGTCCTGCACAAGGCCGGCGTTCGCGTCGCATTCGGCATTGAGGAGGAGTGGCAGGCTCGACTCGTCATGTGGGAGGCGGCGTGGGCGCAGAAGCTCTCGCGTGGGCATGTCTCGAGGGAGGAGGCGGTCGCATGGATCTCGACGAACTTTGACGAGATGTTCGGCCTCGAGCAGGAGAAGGACGGCAAGGTCGACTTCGTCGCCTTCGAAGTGCGCAAGCTTCCTTTCCGCCTGCTTGTTCAGCTCACTAACCTTCTTACCCGACAGCGGGATCCTTTCGAGTTCGGCTCTCGTGTCGTTGCGACCTCCGCCGGCTCGCAGGTCAAGATCTTGCCGTAGAGGGACGCTCTCTCGTTTGAAGTTTGAGAAATGTGCATGCAAGTGTTACAAGAAGGTACGGACAGAGACAGGAGTAGAAGCCTTCGAGTGAAGCCAGAGAGCCCAGAAGGAGGAGCGCAAGACGAAAGGGAGGAGGAAGGTCTAAGCGGAAGCGCTGCCGTGGTGCGGTCCTTCGACAAATCCGTCCACCTTGGCGGCCGAAGTGCCCAGCTTGGTTCTGACGACGAGAATCGACAAGTTGTCGCTTGAGAATTGGCTGTCGAGCGCGGCGGGCGTCAGCGAGTGCGGACGACGGGAAGACGGAAAGCAAGTGCTCACTTGAGCGCGTGGTCAAGCAGTATCTGCGACGCCTCTTGCGGGTCGTCGATGTCGTGGATCAGATCGACGGCTTCTTGGTCTGAGCAGACGTCCCAAAGCTGCACAACAAAGGCAAGGTCAGCCGGCTCGGAAGTCAGCGAGAAGCTCTTCCACGAGACTCACGCCGTCGCAAGCCACGATCAGGTAGTCGTCCTCCGGGCCGAGCGTAGTCTCCGTAGTGAAGGGCGCGCCGACGACAAACTCCTTCATGGACGAGTCGCCGAGCGAGCGAGTGACCGCAAGGACGCCTGCGGAGATGCAAAGTCAGTCGGTGTAGCAGGGCGAGTTGCGCAAGGGAAACGCACCGTTGACCCGGTTGTTGAGCACGAAACCGCCGGCGTCCGAAATCCGCTTCGCCTCCCTCATGTCCGAGCCCTTGTGATCGTACGTCAACCGGACCGCCTTTCCGCCGCGCGACAAGACCGCCCGTGCGTCGCCCACGTTCGCCGTGTACAGCGTCCGCTTCGCCGCCTTCTTCTTGACCGCCGGCTTCGAGATAGACACGTCGGGAGTCGCGACGCTCGACTGTGTCGACTGGGTGGACTGGGTCGACGTGGGTGACGGGTTCGTCGAGGACTGAGGAGTGTTACCGGCAGAGGTAGAAAGCGCAGACTCGTTGCCGAACGAGTTGCCGCTGCCGTGACCTTTGAGCATGTTCTTGATCTTGTTCTTGATGTCGGAAGCCGTTCGCGCGCCCAACCCACCCTTGTCCGCTGGCTCGCTTCCGTCGCCGCCCAAACCCTTCTTCGACTCGTCGTTGAGCGCCTGAGTCTCGCCTCTTGCGGCTTTCAGCGCGCCCTCGGCATCCACCTCGACCTTCTCACCCTCGCGCACCTCGACTACTTCGCCGCTCACACCGCTCGCCTCGCCCGCAGGCTTACCGTCGTCTTCCTCGAGTCGAAGGAAACAAGTCACAGCCGTACACCCGCTGTGCGTCCCGTCCTGCGCCGCGAGTTCAGACAGCTTCTGGTCGACGGTATGGAAGGTCGCGTTGAGGAGGTCGGGGACGGGCGTGGCGGGTGCTTTGCGGAGGTTGTCGAGGAGGTGTTCGTGGAAGTGGTGTCCGCACCATTCGGCTGCGTGCTTGCCGGCATGACCGTCGAAGACGGCGAAGTAACCTTGTCCGCCTGCGAAGCGAAACCGACAGTTAGCATGGCGCGCACTACGGTAACAGAGAACTGGGCACGCACGAATACCACCAAAGTCGTAGATGAACGAATGCGCGTCCTCCATCACCCGCCGGCACTTCTGATTCCTGTCGACGCTCACACCCACCTTGAACCCACACTCCTCGTCCTCCCCGCGCCTCGGGTGCTGATTCAGCGTTCCATACGTGTCCTTCCCGTCCGCCTCAGTCTGCTCAACCGTCCGCGCATCCGGCTCGCTGATCTTGGCACCAACAGCAGCTGATCGTGAGGACGAGGACGACGAAGAAGGGATCAGGCCTGGTCCGCCGGCTTCTTCGGGCGCGGGAGCGGTCGTAGCGTTCACTGCGTCGACGTCGATGCGGAGGTTTGGAGGCGAGCCGCTGCCGTCTTTGGCGAGCGGCGAGAGGGACGAGCCCGAACGGCGAGTGTGGAGAGGCGGAATGGCGGGCAGGTCGGTAGGTGCTAGATCGAGGGTAGGCTGCGTGTTGTCGACGCAGTGTCAGTGATCTACACGCGACCCGGCATACGTCCGTGGCTGCTGAAGTTTAATCCTCCACCTCCCAGTCGCGAGAGAGGGCCTGCCGGCGCGCCCGTCGCCCCAAGGTCAGCGCGCGGCTCCCGTTGGAGCTCATCACAGCCTGATTTCCTGTACGACGCAGGCCGGCGAGGTCTCGTGCCCTCCATCCGCTCTGATTCCCTCATCAGTGAACCCCAACTTGAAAGCACACTCACCTTGTCTGCGGGTCCTCCAGGTCGTCAACAAGCGTGCTAGGGGTGACGGAATCGCTAGGTGCGGCTGTTGAGGCTGCCGAGCGCGTTGTCGAGGTGTAGTCGCTGTGCTTGGGTGGGTCGCGGTGGGGAAGCCGAAGTTGCGAGTGTCGGCCTCGAGGCTGAGCGGGTGTGCCGGGATTTAGCTGGTTGAGAATTGTTCTGAGCAGTGCCAGCAGCAGAATGAAGCCGAGCGAGAGTCGCGCGAGCAGCCACAGCGCGGTGGCCACACTCCGCCTCGCGCCAAAACGATCGTCTCCCCTTGGTGACCTCATTGGCCGCTGTTCTCGCCGTCCTGGGGCCGCAGCTTAGCGCGCCGCACGCGTAATGAACTGGAGATTGCAAGCGGAAACCCAAGCGGAACCCATGCAAGCGGCGCCTCCTCCTCCTCTTCTCAAGCCCCGACGAAGCATCACTTCTTCCCGCCCTTCTTCCCCTTCGACTTGCGCTTCTTCTTCCCGCCAGCGCCTTCTCCTGGACCTCCTGCGTGCGTCGCACCAGCCGTCGACGAGCCACCTGGGAGCGGGTGGTGGAGAGGCGCCTTCTCCGCCCTCTCCTCCTCGAGCTCCTCGCCCGCCTCTTCGCCGCGAACGACGCGCGGCGAGTCGTCCTGCCCCACCGTCACTCCCTTGCTCATGCCGGTGCCCGCTTTGACGCCCTCGGCAGGCGACGGTCCTTCGGCGCCGCCCAACGCGCCTTCGCCGCTCAGCAGGGTCGACGAGGGCGAGTAGTAGTGCTTGAGGTCCGTGTCCGACGGATACGAGTGCGAGCGGATGAGGCGAGATGTCTGAGCCTCAGACGGCGGAGCGACTGACGAGGATGGGAACGTCGATGCCGTAGGCGATTCGGGAGGGGTGAAGGCGGTAGGAGCGGAGCGGGGCTCTTTCATCGGACGAGCAGTAGGTGGCGTGGTCGGGTCCGTAAGGATGGCGGCCCGAGGCGTAGTCGTACCCTCCTCTTCGCTCGTCACGACCTTCCCGCCTGAAGTCGCCTCCTCGAGCTCCTCCGCCTCGCCTTCTCCCTCCTGCGCCTTCGCCCTCGCCTCCGCCAGCGAGCGATAGGTAATCCTACTTGGCTTCTCGGCTGTCGCAGCCGTCACCTCAGGCTCCTCCTCGACCTTGGGCTGGCGCGAACCAGGCGGCGCCATCGCCTCGCTCATCTCGAACCCATAGTCCCTGCTCTTCCGCCTCCCGCTCGATGCGGGCGCAGGCTTGTGACCCTCGTCGAAGCCTTCTTCGGGCGTCTGCGGCTCGACAGGCGTGTCGATCGCTTCTTCCTTCGTGCGCCTCTGGCCGGGCGCGAGCGCGTGGAGCTTCTGAGCGAGACTGAGGGCGACCGTGCCGGGTGCCGCGGATGAGGTCGACGGGGCGGACTGAGCGAGACTGGAGAAGGGCGACAGGACGGGCGGAGTCGAAGAGGCCGTGTCGGTCGGCCTGTGCATGGGCGGTGGCGTAGGACCGTGAGGGGCGGGCGGGAGCATGCGGGTGAGGGAAGTGAAGTACGGGTCGGCAAAGACGCTCTGCGCCGCTGCGAGGCCGTAGAACTGGCTGTCGCCTCCTCCGCTCGCACCACCAGCTGCGGCCTTCTCAACCCCGCCTTCCTGCTGCATCTTCGTGAGTAACTTCTCCCTCTTCTCCTCAAGCTGCTTCTCGACGCCTTCGACGGCTTCGAGCTCGTCCGGACTGCCCATCAGCTCCCTCCCGATCTCGGCAGCCTCCTTCGCAGCCTCGGCGCGCTCCCTCCCCTCCACGCTGTACGCGCGCTCCGGGACACCATGGTGCGAGTACTCCTCGGCGAGAACAGGGGAGAGCGAGCGACCGCGCGAAGCGGCGTCGCGGCTGACTTCGGTGTGAAGGCGGGCGAGCGGAGTGTCGGCCGTGGCGATGCTGGGCAAGTTGTGGTGCGCAGGGTCGGTCGGCGGGATGTACGGCTCGCCCTCGGGCTCGTTTGAGGAGGCACGACGAGGGAGGGAAGGGCGAGTGAACGGGACTTGAGGGGTGAGCGGCGTCGGAGGCGCAGAGGCGGAGCGCTTGCCGGCGAAGGCAACGTGCTTCTCGACGGAGAAGCCACCGCGCGAAAGGTCCGGGCTGCACACTGGCTAGATCAGCAAGCTGCGCATCTAAGAAAGCGGAGCGACGTACCTCCTGACCATCGGATAGCTCGTCGGCATCGGCTTCGGGTGTTCTTCCTCCTCTTCTTCTTCCTCCGCCTCGTCGCCAACGTCTTCGCCCTCGTGGTGCTTGGTCCTCTTCTCCGCTCCCATGTCCCTGCTCCTTCCGCGCCCCTCGTGATGCTGCACGCTCGACCGCCTCCTCTTCACGCCATGCGCCTTTGCCTCCTCTTCTCCGTCTCCGCCTTGCAGCACTCCCTTGCCGACACTGAAGACCGACCCGAGGAACTCGGTGACGAGGACGACAGTCTGGCGGATCGTCCACGCGAGAGCGGTAATGTCGTCGAGCGTCTGGCGGACGTGGAGCAGGAGCGACTGGACGATGTCGGTGATCTTGGAGAAGAGAGTCGACGAAGATTGCGGACCAGAAGCGAAGTGGACGTGATGAGGCTCTTCGGGACTGCCGAGAAGCGTCGCGCTCGAAGTCGAGGTCGACGTCGAGGGGGCAGTCGAGGCGCAGCGACGGTGGACGTGTTCGGAACGGCGCAACGCAGAGTGTACGACCGGATTCTTCGAATGCTCGTGGGTCGGAGATTGCGAGGCGATAGAGGCGCGCCGAGAAGGCCCCTCGAACGGCTGGCTTGAGGCGGACGCGGACGTTCCGGCGGGCTGGGTAACAGCCTTCGCGCCTCCCCTGCGCTCATGCTCATACTCAAGCCACTCCGCGAGGACCAACATCTGGCGGGAAGGCGTCTTGGTTGTGACATTGGCGAGGTCTGCGAAGCCGAACGCCCTCAGAAGAAAGAAGGCGAAGGGGACGATCCAGCCGACGAAGCCGAAGACGAGCGACAGGGCGACATCTTGGAAGTACGAAGGGACGAGGGGAATTGTGAGTGGCTGAGGGAAGAGGTAGCGGACGTGGGTGAGGGCGAGGTTGTGCTCTTCCTCGCCGGCAGCCTCGATGAGATCCGGCGGACTCGCCGGGCTGATTTCGCTCGTCAGCGAGTGAGGGACGTCGAAGGGGCCCACGTTCGACGCGAGAGCCGCAGACTGGACGACCCCGGACGGCGGCATCGGGGGCGGCTGGTGCGAGGTGAAGACGAGTTCGACCTTGCGCGGCATCGACCTTGTCAACAACCCCCCGCGCTTCGACAAGCCCGGTCCCTCGTCCGTGACACTCGCTCCTCGCAGCGACCCGATCTCCATGACCCACTCGACCTCGGCGTTCCACTTTTCGACAATCTCGAGATGCTCCTCCGCCTTCGCCTTGCCCTTGCCCTTCTCGTGCTCAGGAACTGCGACGGCAAGAGTCGTCTCTCCGACGTTGTAGACGCGAGGCGTCCAGCTTGCGAAGGGCAGGACGTTGACGGCATGAGCGGGGAAGCGGAAGAGGGCGAGGGCTTTGTGCGAGAGTGACGAGATGGCGATTTGTTCGTCCTCGTCACCCGTCGTTTGAGCGTGGAAGGGAGGAGCAGGGGCGGGGAGGAACGGGAGGGAGATGCTGAGGTGAGGCGAGACGAGTGCGACGGTCGAGGCGGGGACGTCGCCGGCGGTGTGCGGCGAGAAGAGGTGCTGGACGAGGTCTACAGCGAGCGTATGAAACGGTCAGTCGCGCTCTTGAAGACGGGAGGAACGCTGCTCCTCGTCCTGCGAATCACCCGCACGAAGTTTCCACCTCGTTCGCCGGGCTCCAGCTCGGCAGACAGCAAACTCCCTCGTTCTGCTACCGCGGCGCCCACCGAACATCGCGCAGAAGACCGCAAAGCTGCACGCCCATCCCCAACCTCCTCCTCAGCCCAGGTCATCCCGTCCCCCGTCGCCGAAAGGGAGAGCTGCAACGCACCAGTAACGACCTTCTCATCGATCCTCCTACCCTTCGACGTTCCCTGCGCTCCCTCCGAAGCGCCCTGCTCGACTCGCCTCGCCTCCCACTCCCGTCCTTCCTCTTCTCTTCCTGCAGCGTGCGAAGGGCCGGAGCGCATCGTAGGCGGGTCGTGAGCGAATGGAGACTCCTCTGCCATCGCTGTGCGGCGGGACGGGACGGTCTGCGAGAGGGAGTGAGGTGAAGGAGGGAGAGAGGGAAAGGAGGCGAGTGTGGAGAAGTAGAGGGCCTGTGCGAGCGTCAGCGACTCGGAGCGTGTGCAGCTAGTCGTTCAGTAGATGCAAACTGTGCAGGCGCCCGAAAGAAGGCAATGGCAAGGGAACAGAGAACAGCGGGAAGGGAGGAAAAGCGCGAGTTGCGAAGGTCGCGGCGAGCGGAGTCGCTTTCTCACCTCTCGACGGCGAAACACTGCGATACTGAACTGTTGGTTAACTTGCACATGTACGGCTGACGAACGGAAACGGCGGCGTGAACGCTGAGCCGGGGCGGCTGCGTGTGAGAGGAAATCGAGACGGAAGAGGCGTCGTTTTCGCTTAGAACTCCACTGCGAAAGCAGGGAACGAGTCAGCGCTGCCCTCACGTAGGAGGAGTATCCTGCGTCGAGCGCTAGGCTGGCACTCGACGATGCGGAAGACGAGGTGGGTGAGGAAAGCGCGCCGACTCACTCGCACCCTCGAGGATCCTCGCCAACTCCTCCCTGCCCTCGTTGCCCGAGAACCCAGGCGCAAGGTCCAACACCCTCCTCTGCGGCAACGTTCCCTTGACCAACTCGTCGACATCGCCCATCTTGTACCCGATCGCCTTCAACCCGCGCGGCACATCCAAGTTGACGAGGAACCTCGCGATGCGGTCGAAGAGCAAGTTTCCGAGGTCGGCGTCGGGTACACGCTCGGTGTCGATGTGGTCCTTCATGTGCGGTTCGGCGAGTTCTTCGAAGATGCGCGCGACGGTGCGGTGGCGTTCGGGAGAGGAGGGCGCGGTGAAGGAGAAGACGGAGGGGCCGGTCAAGGCGACGGAGATGCCGTGGGGGACGAGAGGGTGGTCGACTTGGTAGCCCGGGTGCTGCCACTTGCCCTTGAGCTTGTTGAGCCCCGAGATCGGGTACGAGCACGCGTGGTTGAGGTGAACGCCAGCGTTTCCGAAGCCAATGCTGCGAGAAAGTACGCGTTCGAGAAAGTCAGTGTTGAGCCTTCAGCGCGTCAAGCCTGGCCAGCGAAGCGAGCTCACCCAGCGAAAGTCGAAGCGAGGCTATCGATCCAACCAAGCGCGTCAGCTCGGCCTCTTTCGTCGTCGACGAGAGCGAAAGAATACGCACAGCATCTGCCTCTTGGCCTCCCTGTCGCCCTGGTCCTTAGCGACGCGCGGTAGGTACTTGACGGTCTGCCTGAGCGCCCACTCGGAGAAGACGTCTGAGATGGGGTCTGTTGACGGGCAGTTCGAAAGGAGTCAGTGTGCAGGTCTGCGTGACAGTAGGCTGAAGGGGAGGAAGCGTGGTGAGGGGGAGGCGGGGTTGGGAAGGTCAAGTCCTCGACGACCCCCTCCTCTTCCTGCGCCCGTCTCCACGACCAACGAAGCAAAGAGACCCAACTCACTAGACCCCTGATACGCAGGCCTATTAATCGGGTTCATCGGCCTCGGCACCCTCTCATAATACGGAATCGCCGTCCAGCTCTCCAACGAATGGAACAAGACGTCCAAGCCGGACGAGATGTGTACTTCGCGTGGGCAGCTGTCGGTGTTCAAAGGGTCGACGATGCCGAGCAAAGGACGGAGAGCGCGGTTCGCGATACCGGTTTTGGCGGTCAGTTGGGGGATGTCGGCGATGGCTGTGCCGGTCGTCTGTGCGAGCGAGCGTTCGTCAGCTCCCAGTTTCTCGCGCTGCCGAAGAGCATGTCCGCTCTCGAGCAGCGAGCCAAACCGCAAACGCACCTCACTCCCCGTCCCCGCCGTCGTAGGAACCGCAATCAACGGCCTCAACGTCTTTTCAATCGGCTTTCCCTTGCCGATCGGGGCGTTGATAAAGTCGAAGAGGTCGGCGTCCGGGTAGCAGGTGAAGAGGTTGGCGACTTTCTGTTTTGCGCGATGGAGAGGGGTCGGGGTCAGCAGGATTTGCGGAGGGAGGGAGGATCGGTGCGACGGACGCAGGTGTCTGTGTGCGGGAGGGAGTCAGTAAAGGTGTGAAAGAGGGAGAGGGAGAAGCGGGCGCACCGATGACGGATCCACCGCCGACGGCGAGGAAGTGGCTAAAGTCGTGCTGCTTGGCGAACGTGATGGCATCCTCCCATCTGCGCAAGGCGAGCGAGTGCGTAGATCAGCACGGTGCGAGTGCCGACGGAGTGGCAGCCGGAGTATAGGGTACGAAAGGCCCGGAGGGCGACGTTTCCGGCCGGAGGTGGGGCCGGCGAGGAGGAGGAGGACGAGGAGGAGAGGGGACGCACGACTGCTGGTTGGGCTCGACGCGCACGCGGTCAAACACCTCGTACTTGATGCCGTTCTCCTCAAGCGATTCGAGCGCCATCTTCATCGGGAGGAGCTTGGCGATCGTCCCGTCTGTGAAGACGCCGACCTTGCGCGCCTTTTGGTTCGCAAAGTCCATGCCGATTTCCTGCAAAACAGTGCATGAGTCTGAGTGTACTCGGGAGGGAGAGAAGTCCGCCCGGGGAACGCACCTTTGTGACGCCCTCGCCGAAGCGGAGGTTGCTCGCTGCGACCTCGAAGGCGTAGTCCCCCTGAGGCGCATCGACGGGGGTCGCGTAACCCCTCGCTCCGTGCGGGAGTCCCAGACCCGCGGAAGGCGCGCGGTGGAGGACTTTGGCGCGTCCGCCTGTGCGGATTGCGTTTGCGGCGTTGAGGATGTCGGCGGGCGAGTTGGCTGCTGCTGAGGCGAGGGAGGAGCACATTGGGCACCCGCAGTGGGTCTTGTGCACGCGCGAGAGGAGCGACGAGACTTGCTGGCGCGAGAAGCCGGTCGGGAGCTTGACCATCGTAGCGCGGGAGTGGGAGGTTCGCGGGAAGTGTGAGGGTGGTTCGAGTGAGTGACCTGAGTGAGCTAGTTGGCTGTGAGACCAAGTTGAGCGGAGAGCGGAGAGCGATGAGAGCGAAGGAAGAGAGGGAGCGGCTGACCCGGACCCGTTCCTCGGCTGTGGGGGGTCAATCTCTCCGGTGCGGGCCCCTATTCAGGATTACTCTCATTCTGTATTCCCACTTGTATTCACTTAACTCTGTAATCAATCACAACACTGCGAAAGTCTACTCAGAGCTATAGACGCGCCCTCTCGCCTGCCAACATCCGGATTCCCATCCCGACGGAGCTTTGTCTTCGCACCGCCTCACAACCACTCCCAGGCTCACTCACTCAGGCTCACTCACTCTGCGCTGCAGCTGGACTCTTGCCATGCTGCGACTCTCGCGGCTCGCACTCTGCCCGTGCGCAACCCGCCCACTCGCGCCGCTCCTCCTCCTCTCGCCCTCCCCGTCCTCATCGCTCGCACTCGCATCCTCACATCGCCCACTCTCAACCACACCCGCACGCGCGAAAACCCCTCCTACTCTCGCAGAACGTCAAGCCCGCAAAGCTCGCAAACAAGCTCACCGAGACTGGCTCGCGCGCAACCCTGACCGTCCCGAACCCAGACTCGCGAGTTCGTCCCTCGCGCGCATCAAGACGCTCGACCAGATCCGCGGGGAGCGCGCAGAGAAAAAGGCGCGCAAGAAGGCGGAGAAGCTGGAAAAGGCCGAGAAGCAGCTCGAGCGGAGACGCAGGGCGAGGGAGGCTCTCCCCTTCGAGGCGCGCAACAGCGACTCGCACCAGCTCGCGACGACCGTCAAGCGCTTGTTCCTCTCCCCCGCGGCGGGCGGCGCGGCAGCCGGACCGACCGTCGGGCTCGGCGAGGCGCTCAACCTCATCCGCTCACACAGCGACAAGGCCAACGTCGTCGTCTGGAACGGCTTCCTCCAACTCATCCTCAACCCCGTCCTCGTCGACGCCAAGAAGAGCAAGTTTGCCCAGGTCAACGGCTCGCTCGGGCACGCGTTTGCGGTCAAGAAGGCGTACGAGGTCTGGATGGAGATGAAGCGGAGGGGCATCACGCCCAACGTACGCAGCTACCAGACGTTCTTGACGGGCTCGGCCAAGCGCGCGCGATTCATCGCCGAGGCCGTCAAGGACATGGGCGACAACAGGGACCGCGCCAACACCCTCGCGCGCGTCATGGACGGCTGGAATGCAGAGTTGCGCGCGAAAGTAGAGACTGTCCACAAGCAGTGGCTTGCGCACTGCGAGCGCGTCGGGATCAAGGCGGCGGAGCAGGCAGAGACGGGACGGTTCGGAATCGGCGAGGACGAGATCGAGTACGAGGATGTCGAGGAGGAATACAGGCGCGGCAGCGGGCGCAAAGCGCGCGGGACCAAGGTTCGCGAGCGAGAAGGGCGGTTCGAGACGCCAGGCGACCTCTCGCCTGTCCCGACCACGCAGTATCTCGGCTTCCTCGCCCACAATCTCGCGGTAGTTACCGCGCCCTCGTCGACCGGCTCTCGTGCGCAGGGAGGTCCCGCGATCCTCTCTGCCCTCCTTCGCACGTTCGAGGCGATGCCGGATGCGGACGACAAGGACCGCGAGGTGGCCCGCTTGGCCAAGACGGGCGTCACGTACGGCGTCGTCTTTGGCGCGCTCAAGGATGCCGTGCACGCGGTCGTGCCCGCGGGCAAGCGGGCACTGGCGGAGACGGAGGACGCCGAGGGCGTCACTGCGAGTCGGCATGCGACGGATGGAGCGAACGACGAGCTCGACTTTGGCGAGTCCGAGTCGTCGTACCCGTCCCTCGCCGCTTTGCTCAAGACGGCTACGACGTACTGGGACAACCTCGTCGCGCACCGCCCGCTCGCCAACGCCCCTCTTTCGACCTCCCGCATCCCTTCCCCCGGCTCGAGCGACTACAACCTCGACCCGATCGTCGCCACCCGCTTCCTCAGCATCTTCACCGTCCCTCCAGCCTCGCTCGTTCCCTTCCCTCTCGTCGCTCGCGCGCTCGAAGTCGCACAATCCGCATTCGGGTTCGTCCCGCCCAACAACCTCGCCGACCTCGAGTACCCGCATCCTCCGTCTCTCAAAACCCCGCTCGCGACCCCGATCGATTCTCGCGGATTCTCGGTTGCGTTGGCCGTTGCGAGGAGGGCGGGCAAGGAAAGTTGGGTCAAGGCTTGGTGGGAGATGGTTGCGCATTATCCGGAGCGATTCGGGTTCAAGCATCGCCCGGATGTCGATTTGTTCTTGAGGAGGAGGGAGCAGGCCGAGATTGTTATGCGCGCTTGTGCGTCGCAGAGGGACTCGTACGGCATCGAGGGTGCGTTTGCCGCTTCCCTTACTTACGATTCTCCTGCGCGAGCTGACACGCCTTTTCGCCGCGCAGAAATGATGGAGCACCTCACCGAACTTTCGCTACACAACACACACAAGCCCCTCGTCTCGACCTACGAAGTGGCCCTGTCCTCCCTCCACCGCATCGGCTCGATCGAGTCGACCAACGCCGCCCTCCGCCTCTGGTGGGACATGGTCCGCACCGACCCGCCTCTCGTACCCGGTCAGAAGCCCCGCCGGCGAGGCGAGGACGACGAGCCTGGCCATGCTGTACACCTCAGCTATGCGCGCTCGGCGGAGAGTGTGATTCGCGCGGCGCTCGCGACGAGGGACAAGTCGCTCGTCTGGCGCGCAGTCAAGGCTGTTGCCTTCCCCTCCGCCCCTGGAGACCCCGAAGCGTTCGAGGAAGGCGACGGCAAAGGCGTCAGCTTCGATGCCCTCTCGCCGAAGAACTTCCCGCCCAGCGTCACGGACGGCGAAGGCAAGCGCGCCGAGTTGACGAAGAACTTCGTCTCGCTCGCCAGCGCGTACGTCGGAGCTCTCAGCCGCCTCGTCCCGTCGGGCAGCTCGGAGCGCAAGGGCGAGAGGGGCGAAGCCGTCTTGCCGCCCAAGATGGTCGCCGACCTCAAGGACTGGCACGACAAGTTGAAGGTTTGGATGAGGCAGACGGGCGCCGAGGCGGGTTTGCACGTGCGTGGAGATGTCGTTGGCGACATGGCGGAGCGGAGGGCGTTGAGGGCGGAGCGCGAGCGCGAGAGGGCGGCGGCGCCGCAGCAGAGGCGGGAGGAGCGGAGTGAGGAGGACGAGGACGGCGAGGAGTCCGGCAAGTTGCAGCGGAAGGCGAGGCGGGAGAAGTGGTGGAGCGAGCGGCAGGAGAAGGAGGCGGAACTGGAGTTGCTGGGTCTCAAGCCGACTGAGCGACGAGGCGGCTTCCGGGACGGCGCGCACAAGCCACGCCCGAGCTGGCGCGACCGCGACGAGAAGCACAGGCGCGGGTTCAGCGACGGGCCGAAGCAGGACAGGCTGACGGGCAGGAGGCACCTCAAGCCTCGCTATGGATAGACAAGGGCGATCCCCGCGCGGTGGTATCTTCGATTGTTGTAGCTATGACACTCACCCCCTCGCATGCATTCGCACATCACGCATATCCCACGCACGAGACACCGGTCCTCCCTCAGTCCCGCATGTCGACATCGTCGTCCCGTCCCCGCCTCGCCGGCGACCTCGACCTGTCCCTCCCTCGCTGGTGCGGCGGACGGTCGTAGTCGAGCCCTGCGGCAGTCGGTGGTCGAGCGGCAGGCGAGCGTGAGCGGGACGAGCGTCGTCGAGGCGGTCCGGACGGCTGTTTCGCGCGGCGAGATCGTCAGTACGTTCAGATAATGTTGCGACGAGGCACAAGGACGGGCCACGCACCCTGTCGCGGTCATCGTACCTCCCTCCTCCGCCTCCCTCGCTCACCCTCCTGCCACCCGCCGGTCCACGCGGCGCCACGGACCACCCCTGATCCGCAGGTCCCCTCGCGTTTACTGCACCCCGAAGCCCACCCCTCGGTCCACCAGGCAGCGCCCACTTCGGCCCAGGTCCTCCACCAGGTCCTCCTGCCGCTGCTGGTCCGCGCGGGGCAAAGCCGTTCGCGCCCGCTCCTGCTCCTCCCGCCGCTCCACGGATCCCAAACGATCCTGGACCTCCGCGAGCACCGGGACCCGCAGGCGGGACGAGCGTAGGCGCGCTCGCGTCGGGCGGTCCTACGCCGATGATGGCAATGTCGAGCAAGTCGCCCGCGACGAACTTGGCGTCCTCGAGAGTGCGTTCGAGCTTGATGTGTGCGGGGACTCCGCCGCCTCGTGCGACTGGAGGAGGGTTCGAGGAGGAGACGAGGTCGCGGACGGAGAAGGAGGCGAGGTCGGTTGAGGTGAAGCGCGAGAGGGAAGGGTCGAAGAAGACGATGCGGAGGGAGAGGCGGGCGTTCGGAGAGTGGAGGTGCACGGCGGGAGGAGCAGGAGTTGCGGCGTTGGTCGAGGAGGAGGAGGTCGAGACGGAGGGGATGAGGAGGGTGCGGATACGCGGTGACGAGTCGAGGACGAGGTTGATGATCTCGCGGAGAGTCGTGTCGCGCCTGTGCATGGAAAGCCGACATCCAGTCAGTGCGCGCGAGAGACGAGGACTCGAGGGAGAGTGGGGAGAGCAGCAGCGGACTCACCAGGTGTACAGCTGGTGCTCGTCTGCAGAAGGGACGTGCTGGATCGTAAAGTCGGTGTCTGCGTGGTGCTGTCCGGTCTTGACGAACACGCGGAGGAGGGATGGGCAGGTCTGCGGGTGGATCGAGTCGGTGAGCGTGAGTGAGGAGGTGGGAGAGGGCGAGCGCACCTTTTCGCGGTCGACCCTGCGCTGTGCAGGCTGCCTTGCTGGTCTCGCGCGATTCATCCTCGCACGAGGAGCGTGTGCGTGCTGTCGCAGCGTGAGCCGTTCCTCGCTCGTCCTGGCTCGCCGTCACCATCCCACACAACCTCAGATCTCGCAAAGATGGTGCGTGCAGAGAGTACTTGCACACTCGAGGACTGCCACTGACGAGCGTCTTGCTCCCCGCCTCTCACGCTCTCCTCTCCTCGACCTCCTGCATCACTCCACCTCGCACCCACTCCGCCTGCCTCTACCCCTCGCACGGCTTGTTGCGCCATCTGGCCACCTCTGCACTCTTCTTCGCGACCTGCTCTTGCGCTGCCGGCCTCACACGTGCGCCGCCGACGGGCGACACCTCTTCCTCGTCAACTCGATCGCCCTGACGTTCGCCTTGCCTCGACCTGCACTACCTGATCCACATCTCGACTGCCGCTTGCCGACTATTCATGCCCGCCTGCGCCGTGATTCGTCCCGCGCGCCGACTTGCCATTCCCTCGACCCGTCTCCCTCGACTGCCTCGCTCCAACTCGACTCTTGCGCCTTGACGATGGCCTTGTACCTTGTCAACATCTTCCGTCGTCGCCTCACACCGCCCCCGGCATCAATCGACTCGCTTGCTTCCCTACGCACGCCGATCCGACGCGCCCTTCAACGTATGACCTCGTACCTCCCCGGCACTCACCGCCGCGCTCTCCCGGCCCATCGAACCGCACTTCCGCGAACTCGCAGTCGGGCGAAGCGTGGCTCTTCCTCTTCGCGGTCATCCTCAGTGCCGCGCTGCTCTTCACCAGCGTCTTCTTCGTGCGTTCTCCTTCTTTCCCTTGCGCTGGATGGCAGAGCTGTCCACACAGAGCCCACCGGAATGGTCACCGGGATGGTACATTGAGCTGAGCGGGGGGCAAGCTGATCAATGGCTCGCCTCGCGCAGATCATCATGTTCTCGGACCTCGAATGCGACTAGTGCGTCTCCGCCATTCCCTCCGTTTGCCCGTCCCGCACAGCACGCAGCTGCGATAGCTGCTCATGTGCGGGTCGTACGAGGCAAGCCTGCTGTCTGAAGAGCGACGCGCTGACGAACGTGACCTCATTGCCAACGCAGCCTGAACCCGATCGACCTGTGCAACAAGCTCAACCAAGTAAGGCTCGCTGTATTTGCGCCCTCAGCACGCGCAGTCTTCGGCGACCGTCTGCGATCAGCGGAGCGCCAGGCTCCCCATATGCCGCGCCTCTCCCCCTTCTCCTGATCCCCTCCCATCCTCGCCTTTCCTCCTGCGGCTCAAAGCGATACCCCTCCGCCGCCTCCCCGCCGCAATCTCGCACTGCCGCTTCCAGTCGCTCCCTCTTGCGAAGCGCCGGAGCTGACCTTGCCTTCCTCTCCTCGTGATACAGTTCGTCCTGCCCGAAATGATCGCACACGCCTTCATGACGGTCCTCTTCCTCCTCTCGTTCCAAGTCATCGCCTTCCTCCTCAACGCGCCCTTGCTCGCCTACAACGTCAACAAGGTCGTCAACCGGAACCACATGTTTGACGCGACCGAGATCTTTAGGACGCTCGGGCAGCATAAGAAGGGTGAGTTGCGCGGTTCCTGCCCCTGTGGACGGGTTGAACGCTGACGAGAATGCGTCCGCGCAGAATCGTTCATCAAGCTCGGCTTCTAGTCAGTACCGTTTCTCTCGCTTGGATCGTCGTCGCTGGAGGGATGCCTGCGTCGCCCTATTCAAACGCTGACTGACGATACTTGACGCATCCTCTCTACCTCGCATCCGTCTTCTTGCCTTTCTCCCGCGCCTGTTCTTCCCTCCCCTCTTCCCCTACACGAACGTTTCTCGCCGCACTTCCGCCCCAACAGCCTCATCTTCTTTTTCTATGCGCTCTACCGGATGATCGTATGTGTTTCTCTTCGTGCTGTGCCAGAGGGAGAAACTGCGGTGGCCGCGCACCAAAGCTGACCTTCTTGCCTCGCCTCGCAACAGCTCGCGCTTGTCGCCGAGGACTAGACGCTTCTCCAGCCTACGAAGATGCACAGAGCGGACGGAGGAATGCGGATGAACGAGGCGCTGTCGCGCTGGAAGGGCTGGGCGTACTCTCCCTCGTCTACGCTCGCAGGCAATCTAATCACTATTTCGTTTTACGCACTATGCCCGCACCATACACGACTGCAAAATGTGAACCACATTGTCCGCAACTCGCCAGGATTGGATGCACCAGCGTGAGCAGCGAGCCAGATCGAGTAGCGAGATTTCGGGCGGCAAGCGTGTGTACAGCGGCGCTACTCGCTTCCTTCGTGGCTACGGCTACAGGATAAGTCGTCTTGTCTGCGTCTGACAGTGATCTGCATGCGCTACGCCGCATCGCCCATCCACTGCCGCAGCTCGCGATCCTTCACACTCACCACCTTGATGCCTTCGCTTCTCATCCGCTCAAGGACCTCGTCCTCCTTGTCCGCATACACAGCCCGTGTGCCTTCCCTGACCACCCAAACCTCCCACTGGTCTCCATGGGCTTCGGACGCACGTTTGGCCGCGAGCGCGGAGGCGAGGACGCAAAAGTCGAGTGCGAGACCGACAATGACGAGGTGCGTGATGCGTGATTCTGTGAGCTGCAATCAGTTTATGTGCTCTATCGCTTCTGCTGCGGTATTGGCGCACCTAGAAGGACCTGAGTCAGTTCAGCGGCGGTCGAAGATGCGCCAGACAAGTCTTCGGGCTTTGTGGGCGAGTTCCGCTCCTGTACAGTGAGGGGCACGGCGAAGGCGGAGTAGGCATCGAGGTCTTGGTCGACGCCCTGTTGCGAGTAGACAAGGGAGTGCGATCAGCTTCTCGCGCATTGAAACCCAGTTCTAGTCTCGGTCGCTCGCCGAGAGGGAACATCCGCGCGTCCCCTGCCTTCCTCCCAGCAGCTGTACCATCTCGAGGGCAATTGGCGAGCGGACGCACCTTCTGGATGATCCGCACGGCCTGCTCGCCTCGCTCGCTGCGCAACCGCTCGAGTCGCCGCCGTACACCCTCATCGAACTCGCTCCCTCTTGTGCCCTGCACGCAGTGGTCCGGCCACAGCTCTTGCTCGATCGGCTCGTGCGTGAGCGGGTGCGAGACTGTCGTTTTGGAGAATGTGGGGAGTTGGTGTCGGGAGGCGAACGAGACGTGACCAGGCGGGTGAAAGTCCTGCGCGGGTCGCGACGGTCAGTCTTCGGGCGTCTGGCGAACGCTCTGACCTGGCAGACTTGCCTGCGAAGCCGCGACGAGGTCCCACTTGCCGCGATCGAGGAGCGGGTACACCGCGGCCTCGAGGATGGCGTCGCCGTGCGGGACAGCGAGAGCGCCCGAGGGTGGCAGAAATTCGTGCTGGATATCTACAAGCAGCAGCGCGAGATGTAGGGGCATCGTGGGTGGAGTGCAGCGGGCGCACGGCGGGCGAACAGGCGTTTCAGGCGCTTCAGGCGGCGCTGTGGGACTTGCTTCGCTCCAGCTGCTCCGCCCGTGTCGAATGGTACAAGTCCTGCCGGCGCTCTGGCACATCCGCAGCCCCTCGCTCTTCGACATTCCTCTCGCCTCTCACCGCTCGACTGCTACCACTGCCTCCTTCGTCAGCAGTTGTGTGCTGTCAGCTTTCCGAGGTTCCTGTGTGGCACTGAGGGACCTACAGGCGTAAGAAGGAGAGGGCAAACCAGAACAAGCTGACCTTGAATGAGGAGGACAGGAGGTTACTCGGCCGCTTGGCTTTTGCTATAGCAAATGCAATGCTTGGAATCTGAGAAAGAACAAAGGGCAGACACCGTCTCTTGACTGGCCAAGTCACTAATGACCGTACAGCGAGAAGCCGCCGGCTAGCCACATCTTCACTTGAACAGTGAGTCGAACTTGACTTGAAATCCGCAAGGCTTGATGCCGGCGCCAAGCAACGGACTGCTCCTGCCCGGCATATGCAAGCCTGACCATATTGGCGTAGACAGGAGGTGCACGGGGAGCCACGGAGCAGTCAAGCCTCAAAGGTACATGGACGTGTGCAAGCTGCACTGGGTAGAAGGTGACAGGCAGCAAGCGGTCTGTGTAGGCCTGAAGCACTAGGGTTCACTGGCAACAGGAGAGAACACAGACCGTGAATGGGGTCTTGGATTTCATGTGGCCTACAGACGAGGAGAGAGCAAGCTATGTACATCATGAGCTGCGCGGGAGCTCAGACTCAGCGACCGATATCTGCTGCTTCCTCCACGTCCTGCAACGCCGCAAACTGGTTTTCGTCATGTCATGAGGGAAGCGAGAGTGAGTTGATAGTCAGACCAAGTTGAGCTTGAATGAATGTGCGGGTGGCCGCCCAGTGAGGTGTGCCGCTTACGCCTGACTGTCCTTGCCACCTTGCACCTTGCAGTGACACAACTCTTGCACAGCTAGACACAGCTTAGCTGGTCAGGTGACAGGGAAGGTGCATGAGCTCAAGTTTGAACCCATGTAGCTTGGTGTATCAAAAAAGACTTCCCAGGCTCCCGTCCAGCTGTAGTGGATGCCAGCAAAAACCTTCCCCAACCGGGAATCGAACCCGGGTCTTCTCGGCTCCCCTTCACACTGCTGTGTGTTGGTGAAAGCGAGATATCCTAAACCTCTGGACTATTGAGGACTTGGTTGAAGAGTGGTCAAAATTATGCGTACACATACATTCTGACCAATCCCGCAATTAAAGAAGCTTTTGACACTGGACAGACTAGACAGGGCCAGACATGCTGATGCTGCTGTTCTTCTGTTCCAAGTGCCCCAGCTAGATGACAGGAGAATGGCCACACTGTTGTCCAGTTTGAGTGAAGCGTTGGGCAGAGGGCTAAAGGCTGAGAGCCACTGGTTGTGGGTCGTTTGATAGTGAGCTTGTGCAACCAGCATAGGGCCAGAGGTAGTAGTCAGGCGGAACACGTTTGTCTCTTCTGGTTCTCCTGCAACACACAGATCTGCTGACTGTGAAGAAGGTGTGTCGTAGTCTGTAGCTTATCGAACGGACACGGGACTACAGGCTGCGGTGGATTGGTGAGGACGGATGTTGGATAATCAATCTAGCTTGTAGACCTGCCGCTCCTCCTCGCTCTTCTCTAGTTTCTCTTTAGCGCTCCCCTCTGATCTCGCTCTCGCTTCTGCAACCAAAGCCCGAATCAGTATCAATTGGCTCTGTTACAGTCACCCGACTTCAACCTGCGCCAGTTGCCTGTCCTCGCATCGTGCTGAGGACGGTGCGCCTTGCAGGTTTGCAACGCCGGTCTTCATCTCCACTTCTCCTGCACCTCGCGCCTCCTTCCTTCGTCACTCAATCTTCTTTCCTCCAAACCCTGATTCACTCTCACTCTCCCTTCATCAGAATCCCACTTCATCAGTAGATTTTTTACGTGTCTCCCTCTCGCTCTCTTCTTCTGCTTAGGCTACATCTCCCCTCGCTCGGAATCCAACGCTCGAGTCACTGTTATCTCTTCCGTAGCCGGGAGAGTCAGGACTACCAGCTCTCCCGCATTTCCACCCGCTGGACGCCGGTCTCGTGACTTGCTTGAAGGCTGTGCGTCTTGCATTTGCTCACCTGGCATCTGCCATGCACCACTGCAAAGGTACAGTAAGAGTGAGTGAAGGATCAGAAGTAGTCGGGATGAAGCCGAACAAGGCTTTCCATGTCGCTTGAGACAACCACAAAAAGGTAGCGAAAGAAGTATCCGACCAGAGCAGGACTTGAACCTGCGCAGGCAAAGCCTAATAGATGGCGAAGTCGTGTAGATTCGAGTCTATCCCCTTAACCGCTCGGGCATCTGGCCACTAGATAGCCGTTCTTCCAACCCCTGCACACACAGTCCGCCGCCAGCCACAACTCGCCTCGAGGTTGCGGTTGTGGGTCTCGAGACGTCCACAGCGTCACTGGCGAGGCGTGTGAGCGGTCAGCGTGTCCTGGGTCTGACATGAGCCAACTCTACCGTCCTTGCGCTGTGAACTGGCCTTGAGGTTGTTGGTGCGGGTCAGTAGACGTCCACTCCCCTTAAAGATGCGTGTAACTGGTCAGTGTGCCCGGTGATGGGTTTCAGCAAGCGCTGGCAAATCTTCCTCCTCACCCTGCTTCTCCAATCTCCAGGACCGCGATCCCCTTGCTTTCCTTGCCACTGCTTGCTTTTCCCCGTGAAGGGGGACTGCCAACTGAGGATGGATAGTACCCGTGTCCTTGCTATGTAGTGTAACGCCAAGATCATTGCAACGACCACTACGCTAAAAAGCGCAGAACGAATCAATCGGATGTATTGATTCGTCAGGAGAGCGTATATATGTAGGTAGTAAGGTGTTCAGCCTTACATGTAGGAGCAAGGGAGACGCTTACACCTCACACCTCGGCGTCCCAAGTTCCCAGTGACTTGCACTCAATCCACACTGCAGACAATTTACCCGAGCCCGGATGCGCTCGCTAGCCAGTACATAGCTGCTGGAGCTTTGTGAAGGTGGAGGAGAAGGACAAGATCAGCTTCCGGTGTCTCCCCCTTGTCCGCAACGCTGTGCTTTTGCTTCTTCATCTGGATGGGTTTGGGGGCAATGACACCTATAGCAACGGGCACACAGCAGCTGAGGAACCGCCAAGGTTGGCAGGTTGAGGCTTGAGAAGCTGAAAACATTGTGAAAGTCAACTTAAGGATAAAACTGAGTTGAGAGTGACTACTGTTGTGAGCAGAGAGCCAAGTCAGCCTCCTTGCGTGGTAGGCAAAGTGAGTGAGCCAATCCAGGGAAACCGAGTTTCCAAAGCCCAACCTCCGGCCCAATCCACTGTCCCAGCACTTCTTCCACTTGATCACACCGTTGGTGGCCGCGCTAAACTCTCCAATGCAGCCCTGACCCAACTTAGTGAGCTCTTGTCCTCTTCTGCCCTTGAAACGAGATTACGAGACCAGGTTGCCAAAAGCCGGCCCAACCCACTCTCAAACACTCCGCATTCCTAAGTACATATCTTGCGCTACCTACAAATTAGACACGCAAGTCAACAGCTTGCATACAAAGAGCTGACAAGGCTCCTCCCCCAGCTTCTCAACTGTGCAGGAGAAGAGGGACTGGACTCACTCCTTTGGAGGATTAAAAGAGCACTGTTTTGAGGTCCAGTTTGTGAGTGTTTGAGCTTGTGGAGCTTGTGGAGGAAAGGGTCAGCCTGCCTTGAGGGCAGAGGAAGGCGGAAAGAGAGTGGTCAATCTCCAGCTCCTCTCGTCCTTCTCCCTCCTCCAACTATCCGACTCTACCCTCTTCTTGAGCCTAAGAGAGCGCCCAAGGCAGTTGAAAGAGGAATCGAGTCAATTTGAGAGGGTGAGAACCGTGAGAAGTTCAGCCTCACCTGGAAAGCAAGACCTGCCACTCCTCAAAGCCGCCCAGCTTACCTCCCATTACTCCTCCCTCACTGTGCTGGCTACTCTACCGGACTCCATCATTTCCAGCTGGAGAGAGGCAAGTATTGCGTCCCTCTTCTGATTCTCTGCAAGACGCACAGTCTTCAAGCGAGTTGCGAGACCGGCGTCAAGCGGGTGGGAGCGCTGGAGAGCTGGTAGTCCTGATTCTCCCGGCTACGGAAGAGATAGCAGTGACTCAAGCTTTGGATTCCGAGCGAAGGGGAGATGTAGCCTAAGGAGAAGAAGAGAACGAGAGAGAGTCGAGTGATCGATCTACAGATGAAGCGAGGATAGGGGACACAACAAAGGGAGAGTGAGACTGTGAGAGTGAAAGAGGGTCTGAAAGAAAGAAGAATGAGCAACGAAGGAACGGAGGAGCGAGGTGCAGGGGAAGTGGAGACGAAGACCGGCGACGCAAACCTAGCATTCTCTCTGGCCAAATCCCAATTGCTGCCCCTGCAGCCAGCTCAAACTGCCTGCTCCCTCAGACTCTTAGCCTCTGCAGCAGCCGAGTAACCCCACCACTCTGCAGGAAACGAGTGATAGCTGGAAGCTGAAGGAAAGCAAAGGGAAACAATCGACAGGCAGAGACACTGTCCAACTCACCAGTTCGCAACCTTGCCATCACCTTGGCAGCCCACCCAGGGCATTCTTCCTGAGGAAGGAGACAAGAAAAGACCCAAAGTCAGAGGGGGAGAGCAGCGGTGTGTGACCAGATGACGCGGGAGACACCATAGGGAGTCTACCTTTGCAAGGATTGCCCCTTGCCCAGCTGTGAATTGTATGAGGTTGTACAACCTGTGGCAGATTTGACAGTAGCCTCTTCTCCACACAAGCTTGCCTTGGGCTTCACATAGGATGGTCTGACAATGAGTCAGTCATTCATGACAGACCCTACTGCAATACATCGGTCAGTTTCAGCCTGCACCTCACTACCGTCACATCACATTGTGAGGTCCACCCTTGGTATTGGATAATTGCGAGTTCATCGCCAGCACCGGAGGCGTGTGCTTTGAGCTAAGAGCGAGGTAGACAACATCCACTCCTCCCTCCTCTACTTGCTCTGGCCACTGGAGGAGCTGAAGAACCACATTTTGATGAATGTCAACACTGCAGACTGCTCTGGGCCCATCACAACAAGCAGCGAGACTGTCAGGAGCATCGAGAGAGCAGGACCAGGAGGAGCACAACGAGGGACGGAGATGCTGGGTCAGGAGCTCAGGAAAGGGTCTAGACTGTTCATGTGAGGCGCGCGCTGAAACCGCACACTGAGCCGGCGAGGCCCCCTTGATTGCAAGGGCTTACGGCAATACACCCACCAACACACAGCAGTGTGAAGGGGAGCCGAGAAGACCCGGGTTCGATTCCCGGTTGGGGAAGGTTTTTTGCTAGCATTCACTATAGCTGGATGGGAGCCTGGGAAGTCTTTTTTGATACACCAAGCTACATGGGTTCAAACTTGAGCTCATGCACCTTCCCTGTCACCTGACCAGCTAAGTTGTGTCAAGCTGTGCAAGAGTTGTGTCAAGGTGCAAGGTGCAAGGACAGTCAGGCGTAAAAGCGGCACACCTCACTGGGTCCGCACCCTCACATTCGCTAAGCCTCGACCTGTGCTGACTATCGACTCACTCTCACTTCCCTCATCATGAACAACCAGTTTACGGTGTTGCAGGAGGATGCGGAGGAAGCGGCAGATGTTGGTCGCCGAGTCTCAACTGCCGGCGGCAGCTCATCTTGTACATAGCTTGCTCTCTCCTCTTCTCCAGGCCATATGGAAGGAAACAAAGACCCCATTTACGGTCTGTGGTCCCTCCTGTAGCCAGTTAACCCTAGTGCTTCAGGTCTACCCAGCCCGCTTGCTGCCTGTCACCTTCTACCCGGACCCCGGTGCAGCTTGCACACGCCCATGTCCCTTTGAGGCTTGACTGCTCTGTGGCTCCCGTCCCCCTCCTGTCTACGACAATATGGTCAGGCTGGCATATGCCGGGCAATCTGTTGTTTGCTGCTCTAATGGGCACAGAGGTGTGGTTTCAACGGCTTAATCAAACAGCCCTTGTCTCACAGTGCAGACAAAAAGCAAAGAGCTACGTCAAGGCAAAAAAACTAAGTGGCCCTTTCCGGGATTGAACCGGAGACCTGCAGAAGTGCAGCTTGACGAAGCTTCAGTCTGTCGCTCTCCCAACTGAGCTAAAGAGCCAGTGATGCTGCACGGCCAAACGTGTTTATCTATCCACTTAGCAGCCTGATGACTGCCTGTGTCTGGATTGTGCAGGACTTCACAAAGGTGAAACCGAAATCTCAGTCAAGCTGTGAGTGTCAGTCAAGCTGTGGGTTGACACAACTGGCTAGGGGACATGCAAGAGAGCCAAGAAGCACTCACTGGGGTTACACCGCCAGATTACATAATGGTGCACTTCTTGTAGGGATGCCTATTTCATGGTTTATAGTGCGTCACGTTCAGTCATGCTGCTCTGAGAGCTGATCTGTGAATGATCAGAATGAGAGAGCGAGAAGTTCTTGTTTCAAGTCAGATCGGGTCTAAGCCCATGATGACCGGCAGAGGCTGGCTGACACAGCGCAAAACGGTAGAAGTGGGTATACTACTGATGGTTGAAAGTCGCTGGAGTGGACAGACAGGGCGGGAGGCGAGTCAGAAGTGAGCAAAAGCGAGAGATGGTCAAGAATTGGGATAGAACGGAAACTAGTGAGCGCGGGGCAAAGCGCGTTAATGGGATAGGTGGAGGGACGTGTGTTGAGTCAGGAGAAGCTGAAACGAGGCAAAAAGGACGCGAAATGGGCGAGAAATGAGAGTTCTTGGTCTTGATCTGGAAGGGCGGCGGCGACGCGGTCCAGCGAAGTTGGGGTGAGTCGGGGGGTTGTTGTGGGGTCTGTTGAGGTGTTGGAGAAGCCGTGCAGGAGTTGGAGGCGGTTTGACGTGGTTTTGAGTGAGGAAGGTTGTAAGACGGACGGTCTTACCACGGAGATTAGCGGAGGACACGTGGCGGGTTGGATGATGGCGAGCGCGGACGGCGCTTCCTGGTTTGCTCCCTACACTCACGCTGACGGGACAAACCAGGTGTGTAGACTCTGTATTACTGCTCGCTACGCTCACGCTGACGGGACAAACCAGTTGCAACACGCTCTGGTCCTTGCAGTCTCGTCGTCGTCGAGCCAGTGTTGAGCAACAAGTTGTCGCCCTTCCAAAGGTGCGGTCAGGGCATGGAGGAGGTGGAGGGATGGGGCAGGCGGGTCGTCTGCGCGCTCCCTGTGCGTCTCCTCCCAGCTGTCAGTCCTTGTCCTTCTTCTCCACCTCAGGCAACCTCAAAAGTCACGGGAGCAGGCGATGGCAACGAGGCTGGCAATGAGGACGGCGAAGTCAATCGACAAGGAGGAGGGAGGAGGAGAGGGAAGGGACGGAGGGCGGGTTCCTGGAGGTGAGGAACGTCAGCAAGTATGTCCTCACCAGTTGTATTGCAACCTCCTAGAGGCTACGCTCACGAGTCCATATGGAGTTGAAGCCCGCTCTCGCTTCAACCCCGCAGACGACAACGAAGAGGCACCTATCGAACCGGTACCGCCGCCCTTGCCGTGGCCAATGCTGCACGAGTGCGAAGTCATGTCAGCGATAATGCACACACGCCCATTTGCCGCCTGCGGACCCGACGACATCCCAAATCACGTCCTCCAACTCCTCCTACCGCACCTCCTCCCGCACCTCGTCCCGCTCTACCGCGCCTCGCTCGCCCTGGGCCACGTCCCTTGATCATGGCAAGACATGCCCGCGTTGTCCTCCGCAAGCCCAAAAACCTGACTATCGAGACCCAAAGGCTTACCAACTCATAGCCTTCGAGCGCCATGATGAGGCGAAAGAGAGAGATGTGGGAGGAAAAGGAAATGGCGGCGGTGACATAGGCAACGCTGTGGAAGACAGTAAAGAAGCGGATTAGCGAATCCTCTACCGCTAACCTATCGACCCCACCACTCCAGAAAGAAGACGGAACATTACGCGACCTCCGCCCCCAACAAACTCGCCCTCCTGCGCCCGCTGCTCCTCCCCACTGTCTCTCCCAACCCTCCCATCGCACCCACGCCCGCTCAACTACCCGCCGCAAGCCCGCCAACCCTGCCTCCACCCGGCCGCAATCTCGACATCCCAAGTTCGCGCCGGCCCGAACCACAACCTGCGAAGGCGGGAAAAAGGAGGAAAGTCAGCGGAGTACAAGTAAGCCCTGAGTTTATTGTCCACCCCGCTACTCGAAAGGCAGACAACCGCCACGCAAGTGAGCCGAGACGCACCTGCACAGAATCAACCGCGAAGCCGTCGACGACGGCAACGATGAGAACGGCGACAACGACAACGAGGGCGACAACGACAGTGACAATGAGTACATTGACAGCGTGCAACGAAACGAGCGAAGAAGAAAGGCGGAAAGGACGGAGAGGGAGAAGGTCGAGGCCGGGGACAGTTCCTGAAGGCGAGGAACGTCAGCAAGTACGTTCCCGCCACTTGTATCGCAACCTCTGAGAGGCCGCGCGCCCGAGTTCTGACGGAATTGAAGCCCACATTCGCGAGGCCCAACTCGACCCCGCAGAATCCGACGAGGACGCACCGTCCAAGCCGACGACGCCATCCTTGCCGTGGCCAGACCTGCACGCATGCGAGGTGGAGTCAGCAATCACGCAGGCCCGACTGTTTGCAGCATGCGGACCGGACGATGTACCAAACCACGTACTCCAACTCCTCCTCCCGCACCTCCTCCCGCATCTCACCCCGCTCTACTGTGCCTCGCTTGCCCTCGGCCACCTCCCTTGCTTGTGGCGCGATGCCTCGTGCATCGTCCTCCGCAAACCCAAGAAACCCGACTACCGAGACCCGAAGGCGTACCAGTTGATCGCGTTTGAGCGGTGCATCGCCAAGGGACTCGAGCGCATCGTAGCTGCGCGGCTGTCGCATCTTGCTGAGGTGTACGGCTTGCTACCGCGGTCACGCTTCGGTGGTTGTCGTCGTCGCTCGGCGGAGATGCAGTGGTCTGCGTTGTCGACGAGATGAAAGGTCAGTGGAGGAAGGGAAACGCCGTCGTCGGGCTCGCCCTTGATGTCTCCAAGGCGTTCCCTAGCGTTCAGACAGAACGACTCACGGCAGACCTCAAAGCTCGCAGCCTCCCCGAATCCGCCTGCGCCTGGATCCATTCCTTCCTCAACAATCGCACCTGCACGCTGCAACTCGAAGGCGTCGTCAGCGATACCATGGAGTGGACGAGCGGGTTACCACAAGGCTCACCACTGTCGCCAATCCTCTTCCTGTCATACAGCACTCCCCTCCTTGACGCTTGCGAGACGACCTCAACCTGCGGTTTCGGCTGGATCGACAATGTGAATGTGCTGGCGTGGGGGAAGACTGTCGACGAAGCAGTCAGCGCGATGAACTCACTCGTCCCGAAACCCGAGCGATGGTCTGACTCGCACTCGTTCGCGTTTGAGCCGACAAAGACTGAGGCAACCATCTTCCTCCCCTCCGCCCGCGCCATGCCTCCCAACCCGCCGCGCACCATCCTCCGCGACCATCACATCGAATTCAAACCCACCCTCACCATGCTCGGAACGAAACTCGACTCTCGACTCACCCTCCGCAACCACATCATCTCTTGCGCCACCCGAGCCACTGTCTCAACAACCGCCATTGCGCTCTTGACACAGCCAAAAGCCGGGAGAGAGAGAGAGAGAGAGAGAGAGGTTCTTGTTTCAAGTCAAGTCGGGGCTAAGCCCATGGTGACCGGCAGGGACTGGCTGCCACAGCGCAAAACAAGTCAGAGGGGGTATCTACGGACGTGGGGAGGCTATAGTAGTGGTACATTGGGAGGGTGGGGGTAAGTAGAGCGGAAAAGTAGGGGCCAGTGAAGAAGTGGAATAGAACAAAGGGAAGTGAGAGTGGACGAGCGCGGCGTGGTGGGCTAGTAGAGAAAATTGTAGAGGGCTGGGGAGACGAAGAACGAACCCGAACCATCGAGAAACCGTGGAGATAATGCCATTCTTGATCTTGACCTTCTTGGACCGCGACAACGACGACGACGACGGCGAGGGTGAGTGGTGGGCGGGTCGTGTGGTATAATATGGTGTAGGGGGTTTGCCGAGCTTGGAGCGAGGCGAAGCGACGGCGAATTAGGCGAGAGAGAGTCAAAAAGGAGATTGGGGAAGAGCAAGTCGGAGTGGTTGAGGGCCTTGGGCTGTCCTCCTACGTCCCGCTGTCGCCGAATCCCTCCCTCGTGTCCTTTTCCCGCCCCTTGTCCCTCGCTGGCTCCGTCAGACGGGCGAAACGGCCGGTTGCAGTGATGAAGTCGAGGAGAGGTTGGCGGAAGTCGAGATTGCCGAGGAGTGAGCCAACGGTAGGGGTCTGGCAGAGTCAAATGTGCTTGCAAAAGGAGTGGCAAGCCTGCTCGTACAGCGGGCAGAGAATCAGGAAGTGTTCCCGACTCTCCACCTCGCCGCACTCGCAGAGGTCGGATCGGGACGAGTCGAATCGGGCGCGGTGTTTGTTGAGGAGGGAGGTGTCGGTTTGTAGGCGGAACGGGCTGTCACCGAAGTGGGCGCGACAGCTGGTCGTCACGTGCGTATGGCCGAGGGTGATGTGGTCTGCGGCGGCGTGGTACGAACCTGCGAAGGGAAAGGACAAGATCAAGGAGTTAGTACGGGTCCAGAAGGCGGCGACAATGGCAATCACAGGCGGTTTCCGCTCAGCAGCAGGCGAAGCCCTCGAAATCGAAGCCGGCCTGCTCCCGATCCATCTTCAACTCCAGAACCACCTGTTACGACTCGCCCTCCGGGCCCTCTCTGCCCCGCCTTCACACCCGCTCCATGCTTGCACCGCTGCAACCCGCTGTTGCACAACACACAGCTCGAACCGCTCGCCGCTCGATCTCGTGCTCGAAAACCCGCTACTCCCACTCGCCCTTGTTGTCGAAACTATTCACCCCGACCTGATACCACCGTGGTCCCTCGAATCAGCACCTTCCGACAACCATTGCACAAGGAAGAAAGATCGGGACGTACGAACATGTCCAAATCGTCCGCGACCTTCCGCTCGGCCCCCTCCTTGTCTACACCGATGGATCGATGGGCGACTCGGATGCAGTAGGCGCTGGTGTTGCGGTGAAGATGTGGGACGGGGGTACTGTCGTCCTGGCGGAGAAGGAGGAAGCTGAAGTCGAGCTGTGGCAGAGGGAGAGGAAGGGAATGGGTCAGCGACAAACGGTCTACACTGGCGAGCTCGAAGGACTGCGGATGGCACTCTTGTCCCTACTTGTCACCCAGACAGCTGACCCGCCCCTTGTCACCCTCATCTTCCTCAACAACACCTCCGCCCTCTCCCACTCGACCAACCCGACCCCGTCCTCTGGTCAACACCTCCGCCTTGTGATCAGGAAGGCATTTGAGCAGCTCCAACGCACCCGAAAAGACCTTGACGTACGTCTGTCGTGGTCCCCAGGGCACGTTGGGATCGAAGGGAACAAGGTTGCGGACGGCGAGGCAAAGGAGGCGGTGCGGGAGCAGGAGGCGTCAGCGAAGGCGCGAGAGGAGAGGAAGGAGCTCAAGGCGCACCTGAAGGGTCGCCTGGCGTTCGTCCCGGCCATGGCGGAGCTGTCAAGCGGGTCGGAGAGCGAGACAAGTGATTGGGAGGAGGCGAAGCCGCGGACCCGCCATCTCGCCAAGTCCAGCCACCCCGGCCAACTCGCTTGCCTCACCTCTCGCAAAGACAACGACAATGCTGGTTTCCCTGCTACCACTTCTGCTCTCTGGACCGCTGACAAGCGCGCCGTCGTCGAGCGGTGGAACGCGGAATGGGCGGCATCTCCTCTCGCCCGCTCCCTCGCCCTCGTCGCCAAGTCCGCCTCAGCGGCTCACAAGTACCACGCCGGTCTCTCAAGACAACAAGCAACTCTCCTCTGCCGACTCCGCACAGACACGTCCACCCTCAATGCCCACCGTGCGCAATTTGACTCGACGCGAACCAACCTCTGCGAGTGCGGCGAGGCAGAAACGCGGGAACACTTCCTACTGCTCTGCCCGCTGTACGAGCCGGCTTGACACTCCTTCTACAAGCACATCCGACTCCGCCAGAACTCCACAGCCGCCCTCCTGCTTGGCAACGTTGACTTCCGTGGCCCCCTCCTCGACTTCATCACGTCCACCGGCCGATTCGCTTGCCTGATGGAGCCAGCGAAGGACGAGGCGCGGGAAAAGGATACAAGGGAGGGTCTCGGCGACAGCGGGTCGTAGGAGGACCGTCCAAGGACCTCAACCACATCGACCCTCACCCACCCAACCTCCTCTTCGACTCTCTCTCGCCCAAATCGTCCTCGATCCGCCCCACTCGGGGCTTGACAAGTACCCGTCATCACTCTCCACCACACGACCTGCCTACATCCCATCCCCGCCTTCGTCGTTGCCGTCGTCGCGGTCCAAGAAGATCAAGATCAAAAATGGCATTATTTCGATGGTTTCTCAACAGTTTGGCTTCGTTATTCGTTCCTCCTACCCCACACACCCTCTTCTATCAGTTCACCACGCCGCACCCTGTCATCTTCACTTCTCCCCATTCTGCCGCACCTTCTCACGCTCTCACTTACTTGTCCGCTCCAATGTACTTACTCATCTATTTCTTCACCTCCTATTGCCTCTCCACATCAGTAGATACCTCACTCAACACGTTATGCGCTGTGGCAGCCAGTCCCTGCCGGTCTACATGGGCTTAGCCCTGATATGACTTGAAATAAGGAACTTCTCTCTCTCTCTCTCCTCCCATTGTACTACTACTATAGCCTCCCCACATCAGTAGATACCCCATCCAACACGTTATGTGCTGTGGCAGTCAGTCCCTGCCGGTCTACATGGGCTTAGCCCCGATATGACTTGAAAATTGAACTTCTCTCTCTCTCTCACAACCTGGCTTTCCTCTCGCTACGCTCCTCCCAGCCGTCTGCCCTCCGGGTCGACTCGCGCATCAACGCCGACACTCTCGAGCTTGCCCTCTCAGCACACCCGAATCACGCCTGTGCAACATCGCTCGTCGACTCAGTCCGACGAGGGTTCTGGCCGTTCCACAACGGGTCAACAGCGAAGGTGCCGAAGCCAGCAAAGCGCTGCTGTACCCGAGGGACAAGCAGGACCAGGCGGTGTGCGTGGAGAATGCGCTCGAAGGAGTGGCGAAAGGATGGGTCTTGGAAGGGATGAAGGAGCTGCCAGCTGGCTGTGTCGTCTCGCCGCAGTTTGTAGTCCGGCGTGACGGGTCAGCGCCGCGCGTCGTGGACAATCACTCAGCGAGCGGGCTGAACGAGGGCATGTCCGGCGAAGGTGCAATATACAACCGGGTCGACTCGCTCGTCCGGCTTCTCCGCTATGCCGGCATCCTCGACAAGACGCTTCCAGCGAGTGCAACGCTCTACAAGCTCGACGTTGCCTCCGCATTCAAGCTCCTTCCCATGGCTCCGGAGTGGCAAGTTCGCCAAGCCATCCTCGTTCCGCACCTGCGACCTCTCAACCACATCCAGCACCGCAGCGCCTTTGCCAACTGAGCTTCCCCAACGATCTGGACGAGCCTGATGGGCGCTGTCGGCTGGATCGTCCGCCAGCGTCACCCGACGATTGTCCCTCACCCGTTGGCCTACATGGACAATGCGTACGGGCTCGACATCTCGGGCGAGACGATGCGGTATGAGCACCACGGAGAAGCGCAGATTGTCCCGCTCGCGCAAGGACGGATGCTCGAGGTCTGGGACGAACTCGGGCTCGCCTGGAAGTGGCGGAAGGCACTGTCAGGTTGTCGCCTCACCATCACCGGCATTGTTGTCGACCTCGACGAGGACTGCACCGTCGAAAGGTTTGTCGCAACCGTCCCCGCCTTCCTCGCCGTCCCGTCGCGGCAGCCTGCTCTGCGGGACTGGCGGCGCATCGTCGGCTGGGCCAACTGGGCGTTGACGGTTCGTCCACGGGCGCGGCCGCTCCTCTCGCCGTTCTACATCAAACTCGCTCGCCTCGGATTGCCGTACGCAATCATGTTCCGAAACAAGGCAACGGATGCGGTGCTTTGTGCCTTCGTACGCGAGCTCGAGTTGGGCAAACCGCTGAGCATGCGGGACCCGATGCTCACCGAGTGGAGCGAGGCGGACGCGGACGCCTTCTACCTCACCGACGCTTGCCTCGAAGCCATGGACGGCACAGGCAGCGGCCTCGGCTTCTTCGCCATCTCGGAGCAGCAACACCGGCATTCCAGTTCTCGCCCTCGCGTCTGCTACAAGTTGATCCAGTTTGCTGAGGCGCTGGCTGTCTACTCCGCCATCTGACACGCACTCTCGCCCTCACGGAGCAGCTTGATCCGCCGGTTGCTCATCAAGACCGACTCCGGCCCTGTTGTCTACGCATTTGACGCAGGCGGGTCGGCCTAGCCCGAGGTCTCGGAGGTTTTGAGGCTGGCCGTCGCCGAGTTGCGGGCGGCAAAGGTGGTCTGGCGAGTCCGGCACGTCCGCAGCGTGCACAACGTAACGGCGGACCGGCTTTCGCGCGAGCCAGCCGCCGTCCTCTGTAGCGACTACAGAGGATCCCTGCGCCCCTTCCTTCCGCCCCCCGCAGCAGTCGGGAGGGCACTCCTACAATGAGCGCTTCGCGCTGGCAGGCGGACCGTCACTTTCGGTCCGCCTGCATTGTTGCCGAGGCAACACGAACCTCCGCCAACTCTCGACGCGCTGCGCGCGACCAGGGAGCAGCTGTGGATAGGATAGGATAGGATATATTCCGAGCTTAGAGTCGTTCAGGCCTGGAAAGACCCATGTCAACTTGGGGCCACCTACGAGGGCAAGCCGCCAGGCGCTACGTGAGCTACAAGCGGGAGAGGAGCATACAACTGTGGGAAGCGATAAGAAGCCAGAATAAAACGAAGCAGAGGGCGGAAGAAACGAGGGGAGAAGATCTTGTCCATCTTGAAGTCCGACGAGCCGATCTCGCGCCGGAGCTGCTGGCGCTCGTCCGAATAGAGCGAGCATTCGAGGATGTAGTGCTGGCGGGTCTCCACCGCCTCGCCGCACTTGCAGAGTCCAGTCCCAGACCCATCCGCGCCTTCGACGATCCCAAGTCGTTGAAGTTGAGCCGGAGCCGGGCGAGGAGGGTGGAGTGAACCCTGTCGAGCAAATGTAGGGCTTGTACGAAGGGTGTTCCAGGCAGGCGGGCGTCGACGGCGCAAAGACCAGCGCCTGGCGACGAGGAGAGGGTCCAGCGACGAGTCCATTCCGCGAGCAGGGCGGCGCGGTGAGCCTGCTTGAGCGATGAGAGCGATTTTGGCCGCAGAGTGCCTCCCAGGACGAGCCCATTGGGGCGCGCGGCCCGCAAGCGTTGAGGAGTCGAGTCGACCGAGGCGAGCGACTTCGCGCTCGAGGCGAGCCGCCCGCTCCTCCTCGTCCTCCTCCCACCCGCTCTCGTCCGCTGACGACGAGCTACTGCTGCTGTGGCCTGGCTTGAACAGCTTAGGGCCTCGCCTGCGCCCGCTGCGCCCGCCCGCAAGCCCGCCCTTTGACTTCCCCACCTCGTCATCGCCAACTCCAGCCGCCCTCTTCGCCTCCTCGTCCACCAACTTGTTCCCCGGCACCTCCAGATGGCCGGCGAGCCACTGCATGGTGAGTGGAGCTTCTGGGTGGTCGTACTTGAACGCCAGGGGGAGCGCACGCAGGGCGAGTCGGGCGGATTGGCCGGCGGCGGGGGGGGATGGGTCGAATGGCGAGCGGACAACAGACTGGTTGTCAATGAAGAGGGTGACTGAGGGTGCGGTGGAGCTGCTGAGGGACTGGAGGATGCCGTCAAGTGCGAGGCGGGCGCCTTCGAGTTCCGCCGCGTACACCAACTGGAGCTGACCCATGGCCCTCGCCTTCTTCCCCCATAGCTCTTCCTCTCCCACACCAAACCGCACGACTGCCGGCGCGCCTGCTCGAGTCTCAAGCAGCGAGCCGTCCGAGTATGCCGCCAGGCCGCACTCCGCGTCGAGGTCGCGGACTCCTCAACCGTGCGACTCGACCGACGCCTCCTTCAACACGTCAACGACCAGCCGGCAGCGTGGCGGGTTCGACCAAAGCGCAAGAGGTGAGTAGACAATCGCTTCGACTCGGCTGCGGGGCTGGAGGAGCGCTGGGAAGGAGTGGAGCGCGAGATGGATCGGGGATGAGTGTTTGGCGGGCAGCGCGTGGCGAGCAAGGCGGAACCGGGCATATAGTGCCGAGTCTGAAGGACTCGAGGCGAGGCGGAGGGCGAGGCGGAAGACTTGGTGGGTCAGGCGCAGGTCGAGCGGAAGGAGGTTCAAGGGCGGCGAGGGAGGTTGTCCGATATCCGCCCGTGACAATGCGTGCAGCGGCCTTCTGCACCTGCTCGAGGACCTTACTGACCGATGTGCCTGGCTTGTACCACGCAGCTGCGCACCATGTCAACCGCGGCAGCACCACTGCCTCGACAAGCCACCTCACGTACTTCGCCTTCAATTCGCCTCGACTCTTCGCCAGCAGCCCGACGCCCACGAGCGCCTTTGACGCCTTCGACGCGCACGATGCCATGTGCTCCTTGAAGGTGAGTCGCTCGTCGATTGTGACGCCCAGCATCCCGAGCGCTGACGAGTACTCGAGTTCCTCACCGCAGAGCACGACTTTCGGGTCGTCGGGTGAGCGGTCTCGTGCAGGCGAGAAGCGCGTGACAAAGGTCTTGGAGGGTTCGAATAGGCTGTGGTGCGTTGTCGACCATTCCTCGAGGCCAGGGACGATCCGCTGGGCTGCGCTGACCGCTTCCTCGACGCTTCTTCCCCAGGCGAGGACGTTCAAGTCGTCCACCCAGCCGAACGCCGTCGATGTTGAGGTCTCGCACGCCACGAGTGCGCCGGCGTTGTAGAGGAGGAACAGGATTGGGCTGAGCGGTGAACCTTGCGGTAAGCGGCTCCTCCAGTTGACAGGTTCGCTGCTGACGCCTTCCAAACGCAGTGTGCACGTCCGGTTCAACATGAAGGACTCGGTCCACCGGCAGAGCGAGCGGGGTAAGCCCTTCTCCTCCATCTCCCGCACGAGCACTTCAGTCCGAACTGACGGGAATGCCTTGGCGACGTCGATTGCGATGCCGAGTACGACATTTCTGTTCCGCCACTGATGCCTGATCTCGTCCACGAAACAGACTACCGCGTCTTCGGCAGATCTACCTGGTCGGGCGCCGAAGTGGTTGGGCGGGAGGAGCTGGAGCGTGTCTGCGAGGTGCGTGATTTGCCTCGCTACGATCGACTCAAGAAGCTTGCTGATGCAGCGCTCGAAG